TTGTTTTTTTTCTTCTTTTTGGTGAGAATCTTAAGGATGTCATAATAACTATTGCACCCTCCCCCGAAGCGAGCACCCTCCAACCCCACAGCTGATCCATGTTGATCCCGACCCCTAGGGCGCCTCTTAGCGCTAAACTTTAAGCCAATATTCTATCTATCGTTTTGGGGGGTTTTAACCCTAAACCCTAAACCCTAAACCCTAAACCCTAAACCCTAAACCCTAAATTTATTCTATCTATCGTTTTGGAAAGGGTTTTTTTTACTGTCAAACATTCTATCGACTTTAGGATGCCTATATGCCTATATGCCCCATACCTAGGCCATTAAGCCCCCTCTACCCTAAACCCTAAATCCCTAACCCCTAAACCCTAAACCCTAAACCCCTAACCCCTAAACCCCAAACCCGTAAACCCCTAAACCCCTAAACCCCCTAAACCCCTAAACCCCTAAACCCCTAAACCCCAAACCTAGACCTTAAAGCCCCCTCTACACCTACCAGGTTCAACCTCCTCAACAGCCCTGGCATCTGATTGTGGGTCTCGGCAGCGGGGGGTAGCTAAGCCGAAGGGACGCCTGCTTTATGCAAATAGAAAAAAATAGATAAACACGACATGTACATATACATATACATATATGTATATATATTACATAAATATGTGTGTATAGACACCAAGTTAGTTATTCACATGGATTTGTTCGTTTGTTTGTTTTGTTTTCTATAACCCTAAGCCCCTAAACCCGAAAGAACTAAACCATTATGTGTATACATATACATGTTTTCTAGATGTGTATATACATATGTATATATATATATGTATATACACGCTTATATATGTTTAGGGAGCTGGTAGGGTTCAGGGGACTTCTTGGGGCTTGATTTAGGGTTTGGGCCTCGTCAAGCATTAAAGCCTGAACCTAAGCAATGCACCGGGGCAGGGAGGGTTTAGGATTTGGGGTTCAAAGTTAGGGTTTAGGGTTTAGGGTTTGGGGTTTCGGGTTTCAAGTTAGGGTGTTGGGTTTGGTGTCCAAAGGCCTACGCGATTGCTTCGCTTTTTTTTTTTTTTTGGGGGGGGGGGGGGGGTTGGAAACCCAAAACCAGACCTTGGGGTTGTGACTTCAAGAGAGTTGGGGTTCCTCGGCCCAGGAAGTAGGGTTTAGGGTTTTAGGGTTTAGGGTTTAGGATTTAAAGTTTAGGGTTTGGGAGAACTTTTTGTCTTTAGAGTTCAGGGCGGGCTTTAAGGTTTTAGTTTCTTGGGGTTCTGGTTGAGGGGTTAGGACCTTTGGACACTTTGATTTTTTCCCTGGTTGGTTGGATCTGAGAGGATCTTTTCTAGGAATGCATTCAGAGTCGCTTCCCATTGCAGTGGGATGTGACCGAAGGTTCCTGATCGGTGGGCAAGGTATGGAAGTTCGTGTTTAGGGTTTACGGTTTAGGGTCTAAGGCTTAAGGTGTAAGGTTTAGGGTTTAGGGTTTAGGTTTCATGTGTACTTAGGGTTCTGGGGTTTCGGGTTTTGGCGGTTTTGGGGATTTCATCACGAAATCTTCGATGCTCAGAGTAGCGAGGGCGTCCCTTGGTAGACTTGACGGACGCGAGACAGTTCAAAGCACCACCCGGAGCCAACTCAACGGCTTGTGAACTGGGAAGCCGGGGTTGAAAAATCCATCCGAAGGCCCTAAGCCCTAAACCCTAAACCCTAAACCCTAAACCCTAAACCCTAAACCCTAAACCCTAAACCCTCAAGGCCCTAAACGCGCCAGTCGCCTCCCTCCAAAAAAACGCAAAGTTGCAGTCCAATCCTCACTCGACCCCGGAGTCGCCCCGAAACCAAAGGGGCTTTGCTCTAACTGGCTGGCTCCTAGTAGGGAATGAGGGGTTGAGGTATCCTATATCGTCCCTATAAGGGTATATATTCATATATTTCTGTAGGGGCCCTGGTTCCCTCCTTCCCTACTAAGAACCACTAAGAACCAGGGGGCAAGAGCCTCTTAAAGTTTCGGGCTCTCTAGGATTCCAGGGTATAGCGTTCAGGTCCGAGCTGCTTCCCATCCCTACAACCCGTACCTACATCCCTGGAGCCCTCTACACCATGAACTGCATGCCTCACATCCGAGCCCTTTCCGCCCATCTAAACCCTACACTCCGAAGCTCGATTCCCTGAACCATGCGCCCCCCCATAAGTCTCACAAGGCTTCTGCTGTGGGTTGGTTCCAGTGCGCGTGCTCTCTTTTGTATGGCTCTCTTCCAATATTCGTCGTTTGGGGTGGTTTCGGCGTTCGTGAGCAGTCGCACCTGTATCCCTAGCCGCAATACTGGAACGCATAAACCCTAACCAAAACAACCCTAAACCCTAAACCCTAAACCCTAAACTCAAAAAACATGTTCTGGAACTCTAAACCTTGAAGCCCTCAAACTGAGGTCCTGGGAGCCCTAAGCCCCATACACAAGCCCTCACTGGCATCCCACGGTAAGAGATCCCCCGAAAAGCCACCTAAACCCTAAACCCGAAACCCTAAACCCCTACTATATGTCCTCAGAGAGGTAGTACAACCCGAGGGAAGACTCCCTCTTTGCCAAGTGACCTCTTCAGCAATCGCAGGACAAAAGAGCAGTCCGGCTTAGGGTTCGGTTTTCGGACCCTGGGGGTCCCCTCAACACTAAGCCCTCAAAGTTGTTGGAGGGTCTAGGGTTTAGGGTTAAGGGTTAAGGGTTTAGGGTTTAGGTTTTTCGGGTTTAGGGTTTAGGGTTTAGGGCTGAGGGTTTAGGGTTAGGGTTTAGAGTTTAGGGGTTAGGGCTTACGGTGACTCTGGGCTTCGTGCGAAAGCTCTTACCAAAGGCATATCGCACTGCACTGCAGGAGCAATAGATTCATGGCTCGCGCCTAGGTGCGGCCACCATCAGAACGGGAAGAGGGTTCAGGATAGCAGCTTGAGCTTGAGCTATACTTAGGGTTTAGGGTCTAGGGCTTAGGGCTTAGGGTTTGGGTTTAGGGCTAGGGTTTAGGGTCTGGGGCTCAGGGTTCAGGGTTTGGGTTTTAGGGTTTAGGGTTCAGGGTTTAGGGCAACTCGAATGGAGTATAGGGCTTGGGTTCCGAACTTTACTGAAAGCCCACCTAGGCTTCTAAGCCCTAAACCCTAAACCCTAAACCCTAAACCCTAAACCCTAAACCCTAAACCCTAAACCCTAAACCCTAAACCCTAAACCCTAAACCCTAAACCCTAAACCCTAAACCCTAAACCCTAAACCCTAAACCCTAAGCCCAACACCCTCGGGCTTCCTCTAGGACGGACTATGGCATTGTCAATGGGTTGGGATGTTCCCCCCTTCTACTAACAGTCCTTAATCGGGATTATAGTACCCCCCCCCCCCCCCCTATTAGAATCCCTTTTGAGGGCTGTTAGTATAAGGGGGAACCCTAAACCCTGAGCTTTAAGCCCTAAACCCTAAACCCTAAACCTAAACCCTAAACCCTAAACCCTAAACCCTAAACCCTAAACCCTAAACCCTAAACCCTAAACCCTAACCCTAAACCCTAAACCCTAAGGAACATCCCAATCGATGGGTCTTCTCTCTGCCGTGGCAGCTTCTGGCTTGGCTTAAGAGCTGCGCGTGTGAGGCGTGTAGGCATGTGCCGGAGTCATGGGGGCTGCGAAACCTACGCCACCACCCCTTTTGGGTTTAGGGTTTAGGGTTTAGGGTTTAGGGTTTAGGGTTTAGGGTTTAGGGCCTGGAGCGCCCCAGATGCGGAAGCGACACTTGAGGCGCGCGACGTCGTCACAAAATAGCGCGCAGCCCCCCGCGCCCCGCAGGCAGAGATCCGTTCGAAGCAAGCAGGGCCCCAAACAAGACATCTCTTAACAGGCCCCCACAAACATGTTTTTTGAGAACATTTCTGTCAAAAAACCCTGCAAGCCATACTTGAACGCCCTAAAACAACAAGGCCTCAACTCTAAAGTCCGCCCTCAGCTGATTTTCGTGGCGTGGCCTTCATTCCAGCGAGGCCCGGGACGGACCCTTCTGTATCAAGGGATTAGGTCGGTTGGGGTTTCGGGGTTTCGGGGTTTCGGGGTTTCGGGGTTTAGGGGTTTAGGGGTTTAGGGGTTTAGGGGTGATTAGGTTATTAGGGTTTAGGGGTTTAGGGTTTGGGGCTTGAAGCTGAGTTAGTTTTTGTGTTTTTCTTAGGGGAGGAACAAAAGGGGTGGGGGCCGAGGGGGGGAGGGGAGGAGGGGAGGGAGGGGGGAGGGGGAGGGAGGGAGGGAGGGAGGGGGAGGGAGGAGGGGTGGGGTCCCCATCTCTCCCCAACACGGTCCAGGCAGGGCTCCCCGAATTGAAAGTTGGGGGTTTAATTGGGTTTAGGGTTTTTTGGGCTGAGGGTTTTGGGTTTAGGGTGTCGAGGGTCCCCGCAAAAAAGAACAACAGCAACCAAGAAACGACGGCAGCTGCGTCTCGTGGCGCAAGACATGTAGAACCTAAACCCTAAATCCTCACACAACGGGCTTGGTTTCTGATGCTTTTTTGTATACATTTGGAGTTTTCCCCCTTATACTAACAGTCCTGCATAGCAGTATAAGAGGGGGTACTAGAATCCCTAGTAACCGTTAGTATAAGGGCGAACATACAGTAATTTCACTGTAGGCCATCGTTCCCAAATCCACGACAAGCCTGAAATGCCATTCCCACGGGACATTGGGAGATCGACGCGTGACCAGGTCTTGGGGGTTTAAGGGTTTTCGGCATTCAGGTTTTAACTGTAGGCCCTTGGGATATATGAAAGGGGGTTTCCGACAGTAGGGGTACCTTATTGGGGTCCTTGTTGTAAGGGAATCCTACTATTTGGGGTGTGTGTTTTGGGGTTTTTTTAACATTTTCGTAAACTCCCATACGTGTCCCTTGTCGAAAGTTAAACCCTAAACCCTAAACCCTAAACCTTGGTCGCACGGGCCCACCTAGAAACGACTTGTAGGAGAACGTCAAAAATTCTTGCAGGAGTGTCCTGGTCATGGACAGGAGGACGCCGCCGCCTGCTTACCATGTTTAGGGTTTAGGGTTTAGGGTTTAGGGTTTCGGGTTTAGGATTTAGGGTTTAGGGTGTGCGCTAGAAGCCCTCCCTAGCTGCGTGGGTAGGGCTCTTCCTTACATCAGGTCAGGGCCCCAAGTATATGAGGAAGATGTCAAGTAAGGGGGGGTATTGTTGTTCGCCTACCCCGACATCTGCGAACCCGAACCCTAATCCCTAACGCGCCCGCCGTGCTGAAGTCCACACGTGTCCATCTGGTCTCGGTTTCGGTCTTGCGCCTCCCTCACAGGCTTTAGGTTTTAGGATTTAGGGTGTAGGGGTTTAGGGTTTAGGGTTTAGGGTTTGGGGGGTATGGTGTACTACACATGCGGGTTTCCGAAAATGGCGGTACCTTATTGGGTCCTTAGTATACGGGGATCCCACTACTTGGGGATCTACTTTGGGGGTCCCTTATCTTTTCGCAAACCCCTCGCCCCCCCCCCCCCCCCCCGACGTAGTGGCAGGCTGGTTCGGTCCCATCTTTCGTCCCCCAATGCGGAGAGCGGGGGGAGGTTCCTTGGAGTCACTGTGCGCCGACGTTGCTCCCTAAACCTAAGGCTCCAAGAACTCTCATTTAAGGGGCTTTTGGGGCACGCAGACCTTCCTGTGTAAGGCCCTGTGGGCTATGTTGAGCCTAAGGGTAAACCCTGAACCGAATTGGAGTAGAGCCGACTGGTGTTTGGAAAACCCAGGCTACCAAGCAAAGGACCTATTGAGCCGACATCCCTGTATCCCCCTGAGCCCTAAACCATCTTGACCCCCCGGGGAGCGGTTTTAGTTCCGGGCTTTTGGGTAAACCTTAACCTCGAAAACCCCCCAAAAACCCAAAAGCCGCAAAGCCCCCGAAGCCGCCCTGTTCCACACCAGATGGGGGGGGGGGGGGGTAACCAAAACCATGGACTGAAGGGGAATACCATGGAGGTGGGGTGGGAGGTGTATGGTTGTGCGCTGTGCGTTCCCCCCCATAACACCCCCCCCCGTTTACCCCCCTCCTCCCCCCCCTCATGGTCTACAGTCTACAATCTCGCCTAAACCAACCCTAACCCCCAAACCCTAACCACAAAACCCTAAACCCTAAACTCAAGGCCTAGCCCCCGGGGGGGAGGCGGCGCTTAAGCCCTCCACCCCAGGTACAGGAGCCAATTCTCCTTCATGACCAGTACTGCCCTAAACCCTAAACCCTAAAAGGGCTTTAGGTTTTTAAGGTTTTAGTGTTTTAGGTTTTTAGGGTTTTAGGGTTTAAGGGGTTTAGGGTTTTAGGGTTTTAGGGGTCTAGGTTTTTGAAGCTGAGGGTGAAGCTTAAGCTTGAAAGTTTTAAGGTTTAGGCTTTGGGGCTTTAGGGTCATGATCGTTTTACTCCTGTGGTGTGGCCGTGGGGTGATTTTAGGGGTTAGGCTTTAGGGCTTCTGGGTTAGGGCTCTGGCATTTTGGGCATTGCAGGGCTTTCGGGTTTTCGGGGGCTTTTGGGCTTATAGGCTGTTAAGGTTTAGGGTCTTACCTAGGGTTTGGGCTTGGGTCCCTAAGGTCTGACCACCCCTCCCCCTCCCCCCCCCCCCCGAACCGAATCATACCATGGGGGGGGGGGGGGGGGGGGCGAGACGCAAATAGAAAAAACACACATGCACACACCAGGGTGGACCAATCTGTCGTTTCATGAGCTCACACGCACTCACCCGGAAACGGCAAGGGAAGCCCCACCTCACACAGGCAAGTGCGTCTACCAGTTGCTTCAGAACCCCAACAAGTACAGAATATTCTTCCTTGTAAGGGTACTAAGGGATCATTTATTTGATTTTGTTTTTTTGTTTCGGGGGGGGGGGGGGGGGGTTGTTCTGAAGTTTTTAAACCGTAAGCAAATAGTAGCCCTAAACCCAAACCCTAACCCAAACCCTATTTTTTTTTTTTTTTTTGGGGGGGGGGGGGGGGAGGTTCTGAAGCAAATTGTAGTAGTCTGGACCAGGTTCAAAGTCTCCCGGGACGAGCTGCTTGGCGTGCTCTGCCCGCATCGAAGTATGGCTCCCTAAACCCTAAACCCTAAACCCTAAACCCTAAACCCTAAACCCTAAACCCTAAACCCTAAACCCTAAACCCTAAACCCTAAACCCTAAACCCTAAACCCTAAACCCTAAACCCTAAACCCTAAACTAAATAAAGCTAGCCCTGGATGGCTGGGATTGATGATGCTCCAGGACTGGTTCTGCGTCCAGGGTTGCTCAGGGCCCGAAAAAAGGGAATATTCAGGCCAATGCCTTCGCTGCAGTTAGGTTTTGGGTTTAGGGTTTAGGGCTTAGGGCTTAGGGTTTAGGGTTTAGGGGTTTAGGGGCTTAGAGGTTGTTAGGGGTTCGTAGGGGTTTAGGGGGCTGTTAAGAGTAAAGCTCTCCCAAGTGGGATGTTTCCTTCAATTTCCGATTAAAAAATGCGTCCTGGTGCCGTCTTTGGGTGATGTTTACGTGCGCCAGCATTCACGCCCCCACCTAAACCCTAAACCCTAAACCCTAAACCCTAAAGCCCACACCCTAATCCCCAAACCCCCCCCCCCAGGATATCGCCTCCTCCCCGTCACGGTAGTGTTTTGGCTTTAGGGTTGTTTGAGATTTAGGGTTTAGGGTTTAGGGTTTGGGTTGAGGGCTGAGGGGGCTGAGGGTTAGGCTTCACGTTTTACGGTTTTCACTGTCCCGCGTCGTTCATGGTGGGGTTCGGGTTTTGGATGTTGGTTTGCCCCCTTCCCTCCCCCCCCGTTCGTTCACGGATGTTCATGGTCTGTGGTTCACTGGAGCACCCACACTTTATAGGGTTTAGGGTTGAGGGTTTATAGGGTTGAGGGTCTCCGCTCAAATGGTGAATCGAGCGGGTTTAGGGTCTAGTTTTGAGGAAATGCAGGCTTTGGGGCCTCTCTAGGAAGTAGACAAGCTTTTGAGTTTGGATGTCTTCGGCCAACACTCCCGGAGGGCGATGAAGAATGGCAATCACGATCAGCTGGGTCAGACGAGGACGTCGCAGGTTTGGTAACCCTAAAACCCGAAAACCCTCAAAACCCCACAAACCCTAAAAGCCTAAAACCCTATAAACCCTATAAACCATATACACCCTATTAACCCTATGAGCCCTAAAACCCTGAAACCCTAGAACCCCTATATACTATAAACCCTATAAACCCTGAAACCCTAAAAACCTTATAAACCCTAAACCCCCTTGAAACCCTAAAAACCCTAGAAACCCCAAAACCCCTAAACCCCTAAACCCTAAAACCCTAAACACCCTAAAACCCTCTAAACCCCTAAAACGCTCGACTTTTCAAATTATTTCACTTCGAACATCCCCACCCTCTCTTGGTAGAGATACTCTGGGGTTGGGCACTTCAGGGAGAATTTGGTGCTGGGCACTCCGGGGACACTCTGGGGTTGAGCAGGCACTTCAGAAAGACTCTGGGTCTGGGCACTCCAGGGAGACTCTGGGTTGGGCACTCCAAGAGTGGGACACTTTGGGGTTGGGGAGGAGAAGAGTTCCGGGCGAGGAGAAGAGTTGAGTTTAAAATCTAACAACCCCACACCGAGGGTGGGGAAAAATGGATAACACAGCTACCCGAAGCATTCTTCAACGACAAGGACTAGGTCGCACTCGACACATAAGTCTAGGGTTTCTGTGGGCCCAGAAGTCGCTAGCGGATGGCGTCTTCGAGTCAAAACCCATCTCCACCAAGAATTGTCCGGCAGACTTGCAGACGAAGGCACACTCTCGCAATCGCATGTGGTACCTAATGGAGCTCATGGGTATGAAGGTCATGAGCGGCAGTGTTTCCGTGAACCGTGTGAGCAACACGACAGCAACCAACACAGGTGCAGCACAAATCCTCAGGGCGTTGGCAGTTTTGCTCGAGGGGGGTGTTGCAGCCGGCCAGTTGTTGGTGACCGAAAGTGCGATGGAGAAACCATGGCCAGAGTTTGTGATGATGTCTTCCTTCAGCCCTCACTGCCCCCAAACCAGGGTTTAGGGCGCCCCCGTACCCTTTGACTCTAAACCCTTCACAACCCCCTGCAGCCCTCAACCTCTTAGCCCAAACTCCGAATTTCCCCACCACAAGCCCTGTACTCTAAGCCCCACTGCGGGTTTTAGGGTTTAGGGTTTAGGGTTTAGGGCTTTGCAATCTTGAGGCAGTCTTCTCCGCAGCCCCGATGCCGATCCCACGACGTCAGTCGTCTTAGGGTTTAAGGCTGAGGGTATAACCCTAAGCCCTCAACCCCAAACCCCCCTAAACCCTAAACCCTCCACCCTCCACCCTAAACCCTAAACCCTAATCCCTAGTCGAGGTTTCCGGGGGCTCGGTTTCTGGATGTTCCGGGAGGAAGGGCATTGGTGACTTCTGGCATTGATGTCGCCTACTTGGAGGTTCATGACACTTACTAACCAGATAGAACTGTACTTGTAACTGTACTTATAACTATATAGGGTTTAGGGTTTAGGGTTTAGGGTTTAGGAACTGCACTTATCGCCATATTAGGGCACTTAAGTGGCCTATAAGTGGGTTATAAGTACAGTTAGAATTGGTTAAGAAGTACCATGAACCTCCAAGTACATCTGGGTACAGTCCGACTTCGGCTTGGCTTGGAGTGTCGCACCCTAAACCCTAAACCCTAATCCCTAATCCCCAAACCACAAACCCTAAACCCCACACCCCAAACCCTAAACCCCAAACCCTAAACCCTAAACCCCAAACCCTAAACCCCAAACCCTAAACCCTAAACCGATGGCTGGTGCGAGGACTCCGCTGCCGAATCTTTCAACACACCAGATGACCATCCGCTCGGCGAGAACATCTACGCAGCTGGCCACTACTTGAAGAGTTGCCAGGGCTAGAGTTCCTAGGGTTTAGGGTTTAGGGTTTAGGGTTTAGGGTTTAGGGTTTAGGGTTTAGGGTTTAGGGTTTAGGGTTTAGGGTTTAGGGCCCTTTTTTTCGGGGTTGCCCAGGCACTAGGGTTCAGGATCGGGGAGATTTTGCTGGAGACAGCGACATGCCCTGAAGATGAATAATGGCCTACACCCATGGCATCCCGGGGACGTCCCCCGTTTTAGGGTTTGGGGTTTAGGGTTTAGGGTTTAGGGCTACTAGGGCCCGGAGTACGCCCTTATTCCCTTTGTTCAGGGTTGGGTTCCCTTCTAAACCCCCTTTAAACCAGAAAGGGCACCCTTTGTATTCCTAGGTTACTCGTGGCTCTAGGCTTGAACTTGCACATCTTGTGCTAGGGTCTAGATTTTGGGGTTGGGGCTTATGGCTTGTGGTTTAGGATTTCGGGGGAGGAGGTTGAAAGGCGCTCACGGGCCAAGACGCACCGCGTGTTACACACTTGTGCGCACGGCTTGAACCTTACTCTCTGCGAGACTCACTAAGTTGAAGACTAATTACATGAAACATGAACTTGGGTCATGTGCCTTACGCACGACTACGCAAATCCCTAAGCCGTATTGAATAAAGCCGCAGGACCAAAATCAGATACAACACCTACACTGAACCCTCAAAGATAAACCCTGAACCTTGAACCGTAAACCCTAAACTTTGACCCTAGACCCTAGACCCTAGACCCTAGACCCTAGACCCTAGACCCTAGACCCTAGACCCTAGACCCTAGACCCTAGACCCTAGACCCTAGACCCTAGACCCTAGACCTGCAGCTGCCCAGGCACTCCTGATTGCAGAAGTCATGCAGGCCGGAAACCTTAAGCCCGGAAGCCTTAAATCCAGGGTTTAGAGTTTAGGGTTGAGGGTCTGGGGTTTAGGGTTTAGGGTTGAGGGTTTAGGGTTCAGGGTTTGGGGTTGAGGGTTTGGGGTTTAGGGTTTAGAGGGGAACCATTTAGCACTTGCTGTTTCAGCTCCAGCCAACTGTACGGCGGCACATTCCTAGTACTCTGGGGACCAGAAGCACATCTTGGATTAGCTGTAAACCCTAAGCCCTCAACCCTCAACCCTAAACCCTCTCATGGACTCTTTGGGCTTAGAGCTTTAGAGTGGGCTGCTGCCAGTTCCTCTGCGCGGGGCCGTGTTTGCATCGGTGGGGGCTTTCCAGCCGCATGGTGCGGCCCAGAGATTCGCAAGGAGTCAGTGCGGTTTAGGGTTTAGGGCTTAGGGTTTAGGGTTTGTTTTAGGGGTTGAGGGGTTGAGGGGTTTAGGGGTTTAGGGGTTTAGGGGGTAGCGCGTGTCCGCTGTCCCACCTGCCTGCGATCTGGGAGCTGGCGACGGTGCTTTTTTTCCATAGCATGCGGCCTGCCAAAGAAGTCTCCTTACAGCAGGTGCCATTGTGCGGCCGCTATATTGATCCCTAAACCCTAGACCCTAAACCCTAAACCCCTAAACCCTAAACCTTAAAGGCCTTAAGCCCTAAGCCCTCAGTTTTAAACACCTACACCCTGAACCCTCCATCGGGACGTCTGCACCAGAAGCATACAACTATTGACTGGGATGCCTGATGCTCATCATCTCACAGTTTTGGGGCTTTAGCGTCTTTAGGGCTTCAGATCCCAAAGCCTAGAAGCTGTGCTACTGCTACTACTACTACTACTACTACTACTACTACTACTACTACTACTACTACTACTACTACTACTACTACTACTAGCTACTACTACTACTACTACTACTACTACTACTACTACTACTACTACTACTACTACTACTACTACTACTACTACTACTACTACTACTACTACTACTACTACTACTACTACTACTACGACTACGACTACGACTACGACTACGACTACGACTACGACTACGACCACGACCACGACGACGACTACGACGACGACTACGACGACGACTACTACGACTACTACGACTACGACTACTACTACTAATAATAATAATAATATGCTACCACCACTATTAAAGCTAAAGGCATCTACAAGGGAGGTCCCTCAAGTCTAAACCCTGAGCCCTAAGCCTCTAAACTCTAAATCCTACTTGGAGGTTCATTGTACTTCTTAACCAATTTCAACTGTCCTTATAACCCACTTATATGCCCCTTAAGTGCCCTAACATGGCTATAAGTACAGGTATAAGTACAGTTATAGTTGGCTAGTAAGTACCATGAACCTCCAAGTACAGTGATAGGCCCAAACCTTGTCCAAAATCATCAATGCTCTGAAGCCATGCGCTCACCCCGAGGCGCCAACAGCAACAAGCAAGAGAAGCCCAAGACCCCCGAGGATTACCCCAAGACCGCAGTTGGGGTTTAGGGTTTCGGGTTTAGGGTTGAGGGTTTAGGGACCCTAAGCCCGAAACCCTAAACCCTAAACCCTAAACCCCAAACCCCAAACCCGGGGTGTTGGCCCCAACCTCCTCCGAAAATCGCCCGCCAGAGCTACACCAAGATTTGGATTGCCGGGGCTTCCATGCTCACGGTGCCCTGGCCGGTTTGAGGGTTGAGGGTTGAGGGTTGAGGGTTGAGGGTTTAGGGTTCCCTAAACCCTAAACCCTAAACCCTAAACCCTAAACCCTAAACCCTAAACCCTAAACCCTAAACCCTAAACCCTAAACCCTAAACCCTAAACCCTAAACCCTAAACCCTAAACCCTAAAGGCTTCAGCCGGCTGGTTCTGATTCTTAGTGGGGAATGAGGGAATGAGATACCCTACATAATCCCTTAAAGGGTATATACAGGGCCCCATTTCCCTCATTTCCTACTAAGAACCAGGAGGTTTAGGGTTTCGGGTTTAGGGTTGAGGGTTTAGGGTTTAGGGCTCAGGGTTTAGGGTTTAGGGTTTAGGGCTCAGGGTTTAGGGTTTGGGGTTTAGGGAGGGCTTAGTGGCTTCTCGGGTTCACGGGTTACTGTGTATAGGGTTTCGTGCTATTATTGGGTTGCAGGCTTGAGAGCTGAGTGCTTATAGGGTTTGGGATATGTGACTGGGAAGGGAACCTTCCCAGGGCCATGACTTAAAGGTTCGGGTTGTTTGGGGCTTTGCTATGCAACAACGAGGTCGTCAGCAGACCATTTTCATGGGTTCCCCTCTATGCTACCCCCCTGGGTTCCCCCCTCCCCCAGCCCAATCACGTACGTCATGTCACCTGGTTTTCACGTTGGGCAGTGCAAGGGGGAAAGGGGGAGGGTGCTTAAAGTTCAGGATGAAGAGCCCCTAAGCCCTAAACCCTAAACCCTAAACCCTAACCCTAAACCCTAAACCCGAATAATCTTGCCTGATGTTAAGTTTCAAGTTAAGGATTCTCACTGACGAGCAGAAACATGGCCCACAGTAAGCCTTTGTGTCTGCATGATTAAGATAGGGGCTTAGGGTTTAGGGTTTAGGGTTTAGGGTTTAGGGTTTAGGGTTTAGGGTTTAGGGACAAGTCCTCCCGTTCTGTAGAAGATGGGAGGGGCTCCGCATGTAGACGAGGAACAGGTAGTCCAGAAAAGCTGCACTTAAACAACAGCCCCTAACCACCTGAACCCCGCGGCAGAAGCAACCAAGAAAAGTCCACCTGACAACCCTTAAGGTGTTTTTGGCACAACGATAAGATGACAAGAGCTGGCACAGCATGCGCACATGAGCGTTCGTATATACACAGGGAGGGCAACAACCAGCCCCCGACACAAGGAACGGCAAGATGAGGGCGACCCTAAAACCCCAAACCCCTGCCTTGTAGACCCTTTAGACTTTAAACCCCAAAGCCCAAACCCCAAACCCTAAACCCTAAACCCCAAATCCCAAACCCTATACACCCTAAACCCTAAACCCTCTGGGGCTTAGGAGGGTCTGCCCCTCAGAGGTTGCCAGGCTGGTGTATGCGGCCCTTCTCATGTTGGCCGTGATCTTTCTCCAGGCCGCGGCAGTCTTGAATGGGCGTGAGTGTTTAGGGTTTAGGGTTCGGGGGTCTAGGGTTTAGGGTTTAGGGTTTTGGGGGGTTTAGGGGGTTTAGGGGGGCTTGGGTTTGGGGGATTTAGGGTTTGGGGTTTAGGGTTTAGGGTGGAAAGGGCTGACTAGAGATTGTTTGAATTTCGGGGCCTGGCTTTCGGAAGGTTTGGGAGGTTTGGGGAGGTTTAGGGAGGTTTGGGGAGGTTTGGGGACGTTTGGGGAGGTTTGGGGGTTTGGGGTTTGGGGCGGTTTGGGCATTCATATTGTATGGATTTAGGGGTCCATCTTGCCTAAAGGTCTTTCTCTAAGCCCTGAACCCGAAGCCCTAAGCCCTAAGCCCTAAGCCTTAAACCCTAAACCCTAAACCCTAAACCCTAAACCCTAAACCCTAAACCCTAAACCCTCTCTTTCATATGTATATTTAAACCCTAATGGGTTTCGTGGGCAAGGCACAAAAATTCGTGGGCAAGGCACAAAATTTCGTGGGCAAGGCACAAAAAGTTGTGGGCAAGGCACAAAAACTCGTGGGCAAGGCACATTTTCGGGTCCTGGGCCCGTGGGCAAGCCTTAAAACCCCAAAATGTGCCTTGTCCACGAATTTTGTGCCTTGCCCACGAATATTTGTGCCTTTGCCCACGAAATTTTGTGCCTTGCCCACGAATTTTCGGGCACGTAAATTGGTGGCAACGCACAAAAATTGGTGGCAAGGCACCAAAATTCGTGGGCAAGGCACAAAAATTGGTGGGCAAGGGACAAAAATTCGTGGGCAAGGCACAAAAATTGGTGGGCAAGGCACAAAAATTCGTGGGCAACGCACGAAAATTCGTGGGCAAGTCACAAAATTCGTGGGCATGCAACGTGCCCCCCCCCCCCCCCCCCGTCAACCCCCCCCTTCCCCCCACCTTCCCCCCTCCCCCCCCTTTCCCCCCCCTTTTCCCCCCCCCCCCCCCGCTTTCCCCCCCTTCCCCCCCCTTCCCCCCCCCCCCCCCCCCTTCCCCCCCCCCCCCCCCCCCAACACCCCTCCCCCACCGCCCCCCCCAGCTCCGGCCCCCCCCGCTTTTCAGGGGGTGTCCAGGGCCTAGGGTTTAGGGGTAAAGAATTAGAATTCAGGGCTCAAGGCTTAGGGTTTACAGTGCAGCTGAGAATGATAATGTTATATGTTCTTAATGTTTTGGGATTCTCTGGGTGGGTGGGTATTTCTCCAATACATGATGAATAAGCTCGCCTAATGAAAGCTGGTACATGAGCTGCTGAACCCTAAACCCTAAACCCTAAACCCTAAACCCTAAACCCTAAACCCTAAACCCTAAACCCTAAACCCTTGCGAGGTGTTTCTTCTCCAAGCCGTGTCCTCAAAGCTTTGCGTACCAGCAATGAGGTGCCTGGGATTCCGTTCACAGGGCGTGGGGTTCGGGGTTTAGGGTTTACGGTTTAGGGTCTAGGGTTTAGGGTTTGGGGTTTAGGGTTTAGGGTTTTTGATTCAGGGTTCAGGGTTCAGGCTTACGAAACCCTAAGCCCTAAACCAAGAGGGGGAATCTGGCTACCTTGTCTCCACATGCAACAACACTTTAAGGGATCCCAAGGCCTATTTCCCCAAACCCCCACGAAGAGGGTTTCGGGTTTAGGGTTTAGGGTTTAGGGTTTAGGGTCTAGGGTTTAGGGTTTAGGGTTTAGGGTTTAGGGTCTGCTGGGACTGCTATCACTGTATCAGACGCTAGAGCCTAAACCTTAGATGCACAGACCCTGAACCCCAGTGCCCTAAGCTTGAAATCCTTCAATTCAACCTTAAACTCCTGAAACCCTAAACCCTAAACCACCCTAAAACCCTCTTCCTAAACCCTCCACTTGACAGAATTCCTTTTTCCCTAAGAGTAGCCGAGGCACATTCGCCAGATCTACGACAACTACCAAATAGCGGTCTATGGCGAGGTCCCTGCGATGAAGGTTTAGGGTTTCAGGGTTTCAGGGTTTGAGGGTTTCAGGTTGTCTGGGTTTTGGGGGTTTAGGCGGCCCTAAACCCTGTTTAGCACAAAGAGGTCAGGTTGATTCCATGGGGTGCTGTTTAGATGTACATGTAACTTTTGGGTTTGGGCCTGGGATAGACATCGACCTCATCGTGGACGAGCAGGAATAGATGTTGGACTCCGTGTCCGGTCGCAGCTGTGAGCTGCTCAAGAAGGGCCCTTCTAGAATTGTAGCAGCCGAACTTGTACAGTTTTGCCCCCGTGGATAGTTTCCCTGTGCGTCGTGGATCTGATTGACCAACTCGCAGCCGGAGGCCAGAGGAGTCAAAAGGATCGGGCGTTGACGAGGGATAGATCCTTTCCCTAACCCTTGGGATAGTTACCTGTGCTCTTTACAACTCATAGCCGGAGGCCGGAGGATACTGAGAACAGGTGGCTGTTCAGGTGAATATTGGGATAGGTGTACAACACGCAGCCGGACGGCTAGTGGATACATCTTGAACGATAGGTTACCACCCCCTGGAGATAGCAACTTTGGGGATCCTTCCAGTAGTTAACGTCGGGAGTGGCTTGGAATACTTGGCTAGCTACCTCGTGTTCCCCGTTGACAGGGATACTGTTACTTCTGGTGCAACAAACAACTTACAACTGTATATATTCAACTTCTTTCTCCTCGTGTGGCCTGAGCTAGTTACTGGAGCGGGTTGCGCAAGTTTTCATTGATTTGGACACTTCGCACAAACCCTAAACCCTACACCCTAAACCCCAAACCCTAAACCCGTAGAGCTTTTCCATTGCTTAAGATCGAAGATTAGGCCCCATCTCCGGGTGTGGTTTCGAACGTTTGCAGACCCTCAAAGACACAAAACCCCTCAACCTCTCAGCCTCCACCAGAACACCTCCGCTGCTTGTAAAGAACAAAAACTCACTTTGCCAATAGCTGAAATTTAAAAATTTAGACTTTATTTCCTAGGGATAAAAAAACAGTTTAGCAGTTTTTGATTCCTGGGTTATGGGGGAGGTAAGAAAATGGTCCCTCTGCGGCCATGCTCGAGATTGTGGGCCCTGTCGAGCATCCAACTAGATGCCCAGAGCTCCGTACCAAGGGGTTAGTGTGTAGGGTTTAGGGTTTCGGGTTTCGGGTTTAGGGTTCAGGGTTTAGGGTTTAAGCCCTCGACACCAAAACCCGAAAACCTTGCCTGAACCCCCCCAAGTTCCCCCTAGCAGTACGGGCCGAAGTGTACGGAGGTAGGGTATCTAGGGCAATCTAGGGTTTCTGGACGGGCACTTGGCTGTTTGAGCAAACTCTAAATCCCCAAACCTCACCCCAAACGATCAAGCCCCAAACCACCAACCCTCAATTCGTAATAAGGACTCCCCCGCCATAGTTCCCCATAGTTCCCCATCGATTTTTGTGCAAACCCTAAACTCCAAACCCTAAACCCTTTAGCTAAGCCTGTTTACCCATATTTGGGATGCTCCCCTTATACTAGCAGTCCTAAATAGGGATTCTAGTACCGCCGATTACCATTCCTCTTAAGGACTGCTGGTACAAGGGGAACATCTCAACATAGACTATCCATCCACCCCAGCAAGCCAACCCTAAACCCTAAACCCTAAACCCTAAACCCTAAACCCTAAACCCTAAACCTAAAGCCCTGAGCCCTGGTCAGAACAACACTTATGTGACTGTCAACGGCTTCCACCGGGGTATCGACGGGGCCGAGCTCCATCTTCAAGGCGCTTCCTTGGGTTTAGGGTTTGGGGTTTAGGGTTTAGGGTTTAGGGTTTAGGGTTTAGGGTTTAGGGTTTAGGGCGAGAGGGAATCAGGGCTGGCGCTGGAAGTTTTAGGGTTGACGGCTTACCTGTAGCCCCAAACCACAGCACGAGTGCGGCACACAGCACTCTCATAACTTCGAGTGGCGGCTGCCCCTTGATCAGTCCGCTTTTCGAGCGGGAGCTTCCTCCGTAACTTTATGAACTCCTCCTAAGATACCCTAATCCTAAACCCTGAATCCGACTACAGAAGCCTGATACAAGGCACCCTAGCTGAGGACTCTCCCCAGGACTGGACTGTTACTTGTAACGACTTTGGAGCAGAAAAGCCTGCAGGGTTTGGGGTTTAGGGTTTAGGGTATAGGGTATAGGGTTTAGGGTTTAGGGTTTAGGGTTTAGGGTTAGTCCCAATCTCAGAGCCTTGCGCAGGTTTCATGGCGCTCCCGCTTGAGACCAAGGTCGAAGTTTGCAGTGCGCCATGGCCGAATCCACGGTTTAGGGTTTAGGGTTTAGGGGTTTGGGGTTGAGGGTTTAGGGTTCAGGGTTTAGTGTTTAGTGTTTAGGGTTTAGGGTTTAGGGTTGGTCCAGGGCCGGTTGAAGACACTGCCCTAACCTGCCAGGCTTGTCTGAGCACTCTAGTAGGGCCCATCGTCCGGTTGTGCAGACTGCACCTCCGGTTCATTGCTTGCACAAAAACATCAACCCTAAACCCTAAACCCTAAACCCTAAGCACCTGATGTGTGTTTCTGCTTCCTCCTAGGCTGCTGGTTGCCAGCAAAAAAGCCTCAGAACTGAATCGTCCCCAAACACCCTATAAACCCTAACCCTTAACCCTAAACCCTCAAAGCTTAAACCCTAAACCCTGGACCCTAAACCCTAAACCCTAGCCCTAAACCCTAAACCATTCCATGGTGGCTACACGGCTGGGGGCTGGCCCCCCCTGCATCATGAACCTGAAGTCGGCCATGTTAACCAAGGGTGAGGTATACACTTGAGAAGAATTCCCAACAGACGCCCTCGAGCTGCACCCGTGCGCTCGGAACCCGACGTCCTCCTGGTTCTTAGTAGGGAATGAGGGTTTTCTAGGGCCATGAATATTCGTATGCACATACATATATGGGTGCGGCTCAAAAGTCTAGGTATGTAACTGGCTCCCGGGCGTCTTTCCGCGACATAGGGTTTGTAACAAGGCCGTTCTGCTTGCGACAAGCAGTCCGCGACAAACCTCCGCGACAAGCCTCCGCGACAAGCCTTTGCGACAAGCCCCTTCTTGGAACTGCATGGGTTTCGTATCTCTTTTTCAAGACAGAGCGAAACAGCCGCGACAAACCCCGCGACATACGTATGAAACAAGTGGGCGCGACATACGTATGTAACACAGGCGGGTGGCGGGACACCGCGACATACCCCTATTTAGAGCCACAGCCATATATATATATATATATATATATATACATAAGTATATACATATGTATATATACCCTGATATAGGGCCGTACATATTCCCATTAAGGGATTACATAGGGTAGCTCATTCCCTCATTCCCTCCCAGCCACAAGGTTCGATGTTGGGGGTGTACGAAACTAGGGGTTCCTCATTGGGGCCCTTTTTTGTGAGGGTGTCCTACACTTAAGGGTCCCGTAGTATCGTAAACCCCTGTATTCGTTGAAAAAGCTTCATGGTTGAAGCGGTTGAAGGGTTTAGGGTGCGTGGCTACACGAAGAACTTTGAATGAGTATTTTGGGTCTTGGGGTGTCGTTGTCTAGGGGTTCTGCAGGGGGGTTCTGAGGGGGGCAATGAGACTTAAAGCCCTTGGCCCCGAAATCCTCAAACCTGAGCCTGCGTTATCCAAGCTAACCCCGTGAAGCCCAAACCCTAAAACCCTAAACCCTCCAGGTTTCAAACCAGTTGTTGAGTTTGGGAGGCTGCAGGGTTTCCTTCAACGCCTGGCTTTCTCTCTTAAGTTCATGATCAGCTTTCGGGCATTTAGGGTTTAGGGTTTAGGGTTTAGGGTTTAGGGTTTAGGGTTTAGGGTTTCAGAGTTCCAGTGTTCTTCCTCAGGTGCCGCTGTCTCAGCCTCACTTCACGTACTGCATCCTGCTGATCTGGACCATGACGCTCCGCTGCTGCACCCAACGACCTGAAGAAAATCCCAAGCCCTAGGGCTTAGGGTTTCAGGGTTCAGGGTTCAGGGTTTAGGGTTCAGGGTTTAGGGTTTAGGGTTTTGGCGCTAAGCACTAAACCCTAAACCCTAAACCCGAAAAGCCCCAGACCCTACAGCCGAGTCTTGACCCAGAACCCTGCACCCCAAAACCCCGAACCCCCAAACCCGAATGCCAAATGAAATATTCGCAGGGCGTGAAAGCACCAACGAGGCCACAGGCAATGGCCCTAAAGCCCCTTTGGAAAGCCCCAAACCCTAAATCCTAAACGCTAAACCCTGAACCCTAAACCAGGCCACAATAGTGGTGTGCACCTGGATCTAGCTTCTTTCGACCCAGGTGCTTTGCGGAGATTCGGGCCACAATGCGCCTCTTCTACTTCGCGCTGGTCTCGATAGACACGGTGCCTGGCTGAAATCCCTGAGCACCTGGTGTTTCCGACGTTTTTGTGATACATATACATATACATATATATATATATACATATATACATATACTCAGCGTGACCGGAGTCGAAGGTGACTGTATGTATAGAAAAACTCACACAGCCATAGAGATGATCTGATTTGAGAGGCATATGGAGCTGTGCACAGACAGACTCAGCAGGGCATGTCGGGGTTCTCTGCGATCACGGCCTGAAGAGGAGAAGAGTGGTTCACGTTCCCTACAGAGCACCTACTCAGGGCTTGTAGGAATCTTCTTCATCAACACACCCCCTAAGCCCTACGAAGCCGAAGGAGTAGCCGCCGACACTTTTTTAAAGCTGAGAAGAAAGAGAGATCGAGAGAGAGCGAGAGCGAGAGGGACAGAATGATGTTAATACTGGACTGGTAGCGTTTCTTCGGTAGGGACTTGAGACCTACGTTCCTTCTAGAATCCTGGAAAGAGGCTTTGTCGTGGGGATAGGTACCTAATTGCTTCCCTAGGTCTCTCAACAACGACTTGTAACGTCTGAGAAGCCCTAAACCCTAATTAAACCCTAAACCCTAAACCCTAAACCCTAAACCCTAAACCCTAAACCCTAAACTTAAAACCCAAAACCCTAAAGTTGACTCATTGCTTCGGGAGGCCTTGAGAGGTTCCCATCGAGTTGGAGGTTAGGATGTAGGGTTTAAGGGCTAAGGGCTTAGGGTTTAGGGTGTAGGGTTTAGGGTTTGGGTTTGGGGTTTAGGGCAGCAAAAATGTAGGCTACACCCTTAACACTCCCTTAGCCCTGAACGACCCTATGGAATAAGCAGACGAGCCCCCTAAACCCTAAACCCTAATCCCTAAACAGGTCGACAGGGTCAAGGACTGCATCGTCGCCACCTGGCCGAGTTTTCTGGAGTACGTGACTTAACCTACTACTTGCTTAAGAGCCCCCACAAAAAAAGCAAACAATGCCTATATTACCCTTCTAAGGAAGACGATTACCACTTTTTAAGATTTTGTTTTCAGCATTTCGTAGTAACGTTTCTGGGTCTGGGGTCTTTTTTGGGGTGTTTAAGTGTTAAGGCTGATTCGCACCATTGCTCAGATACCATGACATCCCTAAACCCTACTACCAACCCTAGCATAGAAAGGGCTTCCCGTTCTCGGATTTTTGACTGGGGGTCGCCGCAGTAGTCTCAAACTCTGAGAGGTTTGGGTTTGAGCGTTCTTGGTTTCAGGGTAAACCCCCCAACCCTAAACCCTAAACCCTAAACCCTAAACCCTAAACCCTAAACCCTAAACCCTAAACCCTAACCCTACACCCTAAACCCTAAACCCTAAACCCTAAACCCTAAACCCTAAACCCTAAACCCTAAACCCTAAACCCTAAACCCTAAACCCTAAACCCTAAACCCTAAACCCTAAACCCTAACCCTAAACCCTAACCCCTAAAACCCCTAAAACCCCTAAAACCGCTAAACCCTTAAACCCTAAACCCTAAACCCTAAACCTTAAACCTTACTGCAGGGCCAACCCGAGTCATTGTTGACGAAAGCCGAGGAGCGAGAGGAAGGGCATAAAGCCATCGTCGGGGTCACGCAAGGCGTGCTTTTCAGTGGTCAGCATTGTAAGGTTTAGGGTTTAGGGTTTAGGGTTTAGGGTTTAGGGTGTAGGGTGTAGGGTGTAGGGTTTAGGGTTTAGGGTTTAGGGTTTAGGAGATCCTAAGCTCAAAATCTAGACCCTTTGCTGTACCTTCTTAACTCTAAAGGTTCAGGATTGAATTTCTGAGGTCAGGGTTATGTGTGGTACACTGGTGGCCTTAGCAACGATTCTACTGGTCGAGCTTGACCTAAACCCTAAACCCTAAACCCTAAACCCTAAACCCTAAACCCTGGACGCACCTTGGCGTGGGGAGGTGCATTGTGTAAGAGTTGAGTAGAAGATCACAAAGTTGCGCGCTGCTGTCTTCATACCAAGGTAGGACACTGACGCCTGTGGGATCGTGTGTGGGTTTCCGACTATAGGGGTACCCCGGTACCCCTTTTCTTGGGTTCCTTTAAAGGGATTGAGTAGACGGGCTTCAAAGGGGTTTATAGGCTTTATCAGGGGGTTGATTTAGCGTTTATACAAGCTTTATAGGGGTTTGCTGGGTATGGGGTTTATGCGGTAGTGCTCTAACTTAGGGTCCCTTTTTTGGGGCCCCCTATCTTATACGGCCCAAGATCCCTAATTCAGAAAACAACTACCCATGTGCACGTTTCTTCTTCTCAAGGAACATCCGTTGCAAGTTATGGTCAGAGGCAGGCTCTGAACGCTGAAGCGCCCGGAAAGACACTCAACCAGTCCCGAATCTACACAGGCCGGTACTCTACAACCGCCTCACCTTAACTTACTATTAGCCAACAGCTGAGCTTTACGTAAGCTTTTCTGGCTTTTTGGGTTTTCGTATTTAGTAGAAATATTGAAGTTTAACCTTTTTATTCCTGGGTTTTGGAGAAGTAAGTTCAGGTCTCAAACCCTCGTCTTCCGGTGAAACATCGACCCTAAACCCTAAACCCTAAACCCTAAACCCTAAACCCTAAACCCTAAACCCTAAACCCTAAACCCTAAACCCTAAACCCTAAACCCTAAACCCTAAACCCTAAACCTAAACCACAGGTGTCAGGTACTTCATGGGTATCACCTGCTTCTTTCCCCGCATCGCCTCGACATTGTTTCTGAACTATCTCGGCTGTCGGTGGCTTGTGTCCACGGCGAGCTTGCAGGACGTGTTTAGGGTTTAGGGTTTAGGATTTCGGGTTTAGGGTTTAGGTTTAGCGCGCTTGTCGTGGCGTTTGCCCTGGCGACCCGAAAGCCCTGCCCAGCGCCACCTACCCAAACTCACCCCTGAAACGGTTTCGGGTTTGGGTTTGGGGTTTAGGGTTTAGGGTTTAGGCCTGGTATTCCCGGGGGATTGCCCCCCGGTGGACCCCTAAGCCCGAAGAGCCCAAAGCCCTACCCGAGAGCTCAAGCCCTAAACCCTAAACCCTAAACCCTAAACCCTAAACCCTAAACCCTAAACCCTAAACCCTAAACCCTAAACCCTAAACCCTAAACCCTAAACCCTAAACCCTATAAGCATGCTGAAGCTCCAGCTCTTGTTGGGCAAGCTAGTGGTGCAGGCTTCAAGGTTTAGGGTTTAGGGTTTCGGGTTTAGGGTTTAGGGTTTAGGGTTTAGGGTTTAGGGTTTAGGGTTCAGTTTTCAAGGTTTAGGGTTTAGGGTTTGGGGTTTGAGGTTTAGGTTTTCGGGTTTCACTCCGTACCGTCCTTCTGTAGAGATTAGGGCTAGAGTTTGGGGTTTAGGGTTCAGGATTTAGGGTTTAGTGTTTAGGGCACGCCACTTTGACAACAAACTCCGCGAGCCCTAGATCTTCAATCCAAGAGGTTCTGGTCTTTACGCCTGGCCCTGAGAACCCACTGCCGAATTCTTGTCGCAGGTGACCTCGATTGAATCCTAAACCCTAAACCCTAAACCCTAAACCCTAAACCCTAAACCCTAAACCCTAAACCCTAAACCCCATATTTTCGTAACTCCTAAGTCCCGCAGATTCTCACTGCAGCGCCCACTCCCAGACGGTCCCGCAGAGCGCCTGTGGGAGACCCCATGGCCAACAATTCCTACGCCCTTTCATGAAGAGTCCCCAGAACATAAAGATGGGACTACCTAGTTGAGAGGGAATGCTTATCATACAAAGGTGGGACTGTCTAGTTGGGAGGTGGGAGGAGGCATGCCTCAAACCCTGTAGCTTGTGTCTGTCTTACACCCTGCGCCCTAAATCCGAAACCCTCGTCCCTGAACCCGAAACCCTAAACCCTAAACCCCAAACCCAAAACCCTAAACCCTAAACCCTAAACTCTAAACCTTAAACCCTAAACCCTAAACCCTCACTTAGTCTGGCAGGATCTCTTCTTGAACTCCTTGGCCTTGGAGTTCATGGCCCTTTGGGCTGCACTCGAAAGCCTTTAAGCCTCATATGGGAGGGTTTAGGGTTTAGGGTTTAGGGTTTAGGGTTTAGGGTTTAGGGTTTAGGGTTCTTTAAACCGCGGGAGCGGTGGGTGGGTGGGAGGGCGGGTTTGGGGGGTTCAGGGCGGTTTTAGCGGATTTATAGGGCTTAGAGAACCCTAAATTATGGGGTTTAGGGGGGGGGGGGGGGGGGGGGGGGCAGTTTCTTTGTGGTCTACAGTAACAGCCCCCTTTTGTCGCAAAGCGTTTGTGCTTTGTTCTTTAACCCTAAACCCTAACCCCTAAGCCCTAAGCCCTAAGCCCTAAACCCTAAACCCTAAACCCTAAACCCTAAACCCTAGCCCCTATCCCCTAAACCCTAAACCCTAAACCCTAAGCCCTAAACGGCCTCTTGAGAGGTGCTCGAGGCGAACATGTTTCGTGTTTTCTTCTCGATGGAGCTTTGCCGAGTTGGGAAATGTACGGTTCTGAGGGAACAACAAATGTTCACTTATCTGCTTCAAGTTGCATAGCTGACTACAAAATGTATAAATAGTGCTATTCTTAATGCAAATCTGTTTTTGTACAAATGCAAAAAAGTTGTTCAATTCCTGACTCAATAATACAACAGTTATCTTACAGTCAAAGTGAGTGCACATTCTTTTCAATACTGCCCATGACTTTCAATCTTAAAGGCTTTTTTTGCTTTGACATAGTGGCTTCTCGAGGCCTCCTGCCAACCATGGCTGCCCTTATGAACCCGAGAAGCCACCCAGGGATCTCTAGGGACCATGAGAGAAACTCCCGGTAGCTACTATTCGCTTCAGTTACCCAAAAAGAATTACAAGCATACTAGTACCTATATTGCCCTTAGCGAGGAAGCATATTTTTTCGGGGCTCTTAAGCAATTAGTAGGTAAGGTGTCCGGGCTTTGCACGTTCGCCAAGGGCTCAAGGGTGCCCCAGTGGCTCGTGACTGAAGCGCTTAAGCTTCTCACAGGGTTTTGGTTTGGGGCCCTATACCCTAAACCTCGAACCCTAAACCCAAACCCCAAACCCTAAACCCTCAACCCTAAACCCTAAACCCTAAACCCTAAACCCTAAACCCTAAACCCTAAACCCTAAACCCTAAACCCTAAACCCTAAACCCTAAACGCCAGGCCCCAAATCCCATACAGCCTAAGGGAAGTAGCGTGGTCCCTTGACGTGGGCCCTTCTGTTCTTTGAAAGGGTTCTGGAGTATGGGCCCTTGGGGTTTACATTTTATTAAACCCTAAACCCTAAACCCTAAACCCTCCACCCCCCAACTCAACGCCCTGAGTTGCTGCTCCCGGAGCTGATATACCGGACCTTTGCCACGGACCGGGCATGGAAGTGGCCCAGACGCGGTTAGAAGAGTGTGGGGGGGGGGGGGGGGGGGGGGGGGGGGCGGGGAGGGGTTTGGGGTTTAGGGTTTAGGGTTTAGGGTTTAGGGTTTAGGGTTTCGGGATTAGGGTTTAGGGTTTAGGGTTTCGGGTTTTGGATTTAGGGTTTAGGGGTCTTTAAACCCTCATTGCTGAACCCTCCTTGTAAACCCTAAACCCTAAACCCTAAACTCACAACCCTAACCCTCCAAGCACGTGGCAGGTGCCCTAAGTCGGGGTGTCCTTTCTGTTTTTGGGTGGGGGAGGGGGGTGGTTCCTCAGGTCCCTTCTGTCATACGCACATCTCTTGCTCCTTGGAGGTTCATGGTACTTACTAGCCAACTATAACTTATAACTTTACTTATAAGCAAATTAGGGCAGTTAAGGGGCTCGTAAGTGGGTTATCAGTACAGTTACAATTGGTTAGTAAGTACCATAACCTCCAAGGTCGCATCAATGCCACAATTCCCCAATGCCCTTCCACCCGGAACGTCCAGGGACCGAGCCCCCTGAAACTTCGATTAGGGTTTAGGGTTGAGGGTTTAGTAGGGTTTAGTAGGTTTTAGGGTTGAGGGCTTAGGGTTACCCTCAGCCTTAAACCCCAAGACGACTCACCCTAAACCCTGACCCCTTAGAGCGGGGGGGGGGGGGGGTACCACATCTTAGAGAGCTGCACACCCGAGGTTGACGGAGACCATTATGATCGGAGCCACTTGGCAGGCGTAAGGCCTTTTCATAGCGGTTTTGGTTTTTCCACGCTGTGACTTTAGTGAGAGCTCCTTCGTTTCCAGCTTGTAGTGGGGGCTTCTCAGGCTTCTAGGCGTACATTGAGCCTTGAATTCACGGTTGGGGACATCTTGCCACTTTTGGCAACCTTTTCAAAAACCACTCGCGAGCAACCAAAAGGCAAACCTACACACCCTAATCGCATTCTCAGCTCTATCACATTCTCCTTTTCCTTCTCTCACTTCGTTCATTCATTCACTTTTTTCACGTGCTTATTCATTACATTCATCCGCTTGTAATTAAGTTCATTGAATTCTCTGCATCTTTATTCTGAGCCCTTCAGAACCTAGAAATGGAGTTCTTTCTTCTCTGGATTCCTCACTAGCTCTTAGTACTAATTCTCGGGCGTCTGTCTCACGGCTCTTCCTTCGCGGCACTTCCCTCTAACTTTGAGACAGGATTTTGGAAGAGGAAGTCATTTGTAACCGCTAGAAAGAACTGGGTGAGAGAGGTGAATGGACGTACCTTCAAGAACCGCGTGCATGCTATTAATATTATAATTAGGGCGCGCGTCCCTTGCCCCTAATATAATAGTAGTATTGCACAGGTCTTTGGGGGAGAGCCTTCCATCCGACGTGAGAACAGTTAAGTTGTGTTTCCTCGATTTCGAAACCGCCTCTGCCCCCTACAGCCTCAGTTGTCGTCACAAACCCAGAGCCCTCATAAGCCGTCGTACTCCCGTCCTTCAACTGCAAACCCTATAAACCCTAAACCCTAAACGCCCTACCGTGAACCTAATACAGCTCTACGCCCGAAGTATGCCCCCACCCCCAGCCTGCAGCATCTCACTGCCAAGGGAAACAGCCTGCAGCTGCAACTTTGCAGCAAGAGGGAAGTCTAGTTTGCGCCTGGGGTTATCTAATTGTGGAATGTGCGGGCCCTAAACCCTAAATCCTAAACCTTAAACCCTAAACTCTAAACCCTAAGTTAGCGTTAACCCTAAACCCTAAGATAGGGTTTAGGGCAACGGTCCGCGGTCTGGGGTTTGGAGCTTGAGGCCCCAAGGGCTCAATGATTTATACTTCATAGGGCTTATCATAGGGTTTAGAGGGTCTTCATCTTGACATCGCATGCTCCCCAAACCCTAAAGCCTAAACCCTAAACCCTAACCCTAAACCCCAAACCCTAAACTCTAAACCCTAAACCCTGGCCTTGTGTTCAAGCCTTACACCCTAAACTCGGCATCTAGGGTTTTGGGTTTAGGGTTTAGGTTTTTGGGTTTAGGGTTTTGGGCGCCTTGGGGTTTGTGTCATGGGAGCGTCGAAGCGTTGCTGATCTCTGTGCGGAAAGACTCGAGGATACAGTGAGGAGGGTGAAAAGCATTGGGGTTTAGGGTTTAGGGCTTAGGTTTTAGGGTTCAGGGTTCAGGGTTCAGGGTTTAGGGTTTAGGGTTTAGGGTTGAGGGTTTAGAGTTTAGGGCAGTATCCACTCACATTCTTAGCTTCGTGCCGGGCTTAAGGTTTAGTTTAGGGCTCTGGGTTTGGGGCTGTTTCGGGTTTAGGGGCTAACGAGCCCCTTCCCCCCCCCCCCCCTCCCCCCCCCCCCCCTCCCCCCTCCGCCCCGCACGATCGCGATCGCGAACATTCCTCAAACCAGGATTCGTTTTTTTTTTGCTGCGGGTTAATAGGGGTTAAAGGGGGTATAGGAAATGTGTATATAAATATATACATATACATATATATATATAGAGGGGTTATAGGGTTTATCGGGTTTTTTGGGCTTATAGGGGTTTATACGGTGTATACGGTTTAAAGGGTTTGGGGGCTATAGGGGGTTATCTTATATGGGCCTATAGGGTTTATAGGGCTCACAGGGGCTCCCTACTACACCCCTCTATACTTTGTGGTGCTTTACGGTTACTTTAGATCCTTGGCTTTTTTTGGGTTTAAATTGGTTTCCACCCCTCCCTAGGTTACCTTAAATAGCCTTAATTAAGCTTACCTGTCCCTAGATAGCCTTAGTACAAAGGGGGGCTAGTAGCTTTTGGAGAAGTCTACAGGTGGTTCTGGGCTCCTGTTAGAGCTACTTTACCTAAAAGGTATACACTTTTTTCCCAGGGTTTACTCCAAAGTAGGGGTAGGGGAGCCCATGATAAACCCAAACCCTAAACCCTAAACCTTAAACCCTGAACCCTCAAGTCCTCACGTCCTGAGGCCAAAGGAAGGCACTGGCCTGATGGTGTCTCTGTTCTGGGCCGCTCGGCTGTGGGGTTTAGGGTTTAGGGTTTCGGGCCTTCCCAGACCCCTAGCAAGATCCCAAAAGTAGATCCCCTTAAGGGTTTCTAAAAAGTGGCCCTGTTAGGGTTTAGGGTCTAGGGTCTAGGGTCTAGGGTTTAGGGTTTAGGGTTTAGGGTTCCTTCTTGGATCCTCCCAGGGGTCTGGGTTAGGGGTTATTCAGAGGTTATTTGGGGGACCTAGGTATATATGGACGAAATAAGGTATGTATAGGGGTTGGGGCGGGAATAAGATTAAGGGTCCCTTCTTGGGGTATAGGGTTTGGGCTTGTCTACGGTTCTTCGTCGAGAATCGTCGAGAAATAAAGAATTCAGGTGCCCCATCTAGTTCCTTACAGGGTTTAGGGTTTAGGGTTTATAATTATAATAGGGTTTAGGGTTTAGGGTTTAGGGTTTAGGGCTCAGGTGTATCTGATGTCTTCACCTCTACCCAGAACTGGCAAGCTCGGGGGTCTCGCGTTCAGGGCATGGGCTGTATAGGCTCAGCTACTGGAGTCTGCGGGTGGCGCCTGCTGTTGGAGATACTTCCCACCTCTGCGGTTCTTTGGCGGCTAAACCCTAAAACCCTAAACCCTAAACACTAAACCCTAAACCCTAAACCCTAAACCCTAAACACATGCCTGCCCACCTTTTGCAGCCTGGTGTGTGTGGCCTTGCTAAGTGACGAGCCAATGCAGGCCCCTACTTGTCCTGAGCAAGCTTTACCGCTTGTGGTCTTCCGTCCTTACCAGAAAGGTCCCTGCCATTGAGTTTGTTAAGCTTTGCCATCGCCCTAAACCCCTAAACCCCAGACAGGAAGCACAGTGACACCAATGAACCCAGTCGTTCGTGCTTCGGCTTTACCTCGAGACGCTACGCCACGAAGGTTACCCTTGCTTTCTCTTCTTTCCGGGCAGCAGAACCTTAAACTCCAAACCCCTAAATCCTACACCCCCTAAACCCCCTAAATGCTACACCCTCCTCAGTTCCGTCCTCCGCTGGCAAACCGGACATAGGTTGTGCTTGCGATCGTCTGGGTTTACGTGTACATGGTCTACATCCAGCAAGTTCTTCCAGGCATAGGGGCCGGGGGGGGGGGGGGGGGACCGCATCCCCAGTTTCGGGTTTAGGGATCAGGGTTTAGGTGAGGGTATTTGGGCTAAAGTTGATGGTTGCGGTCTTGCGGAGATTGAGCTTGAAAAGGGCTGGTACTCCGGCCTGTGGATTTAGAGTCTGGGTTAGCACGCGCTCACAAGCAGACCTTTCAATCACTACCAGCAAGGGTTTACTAAGCCCCAGAGTAGGCCCCTCTTCCCTTTTGGGGGGGTTAGGGTTTAGGGTTTAGGGTTCAGGGTTTAGGGTTTGGGGTTTAGGGTCTAGGGTTTCGGGTTTCCTTACAAGCCCCTTTTGGCCAAACAGGGCACCATGTCTATTTCTAGGTTCCTCTTGGGTCTAGTTTAGGCTTAGAGATGGCCCGGAAGGGAAGGCTGCGGTGTCGGCGCTTAATGTTCTACACATCGCCTGCGAAGCCTTTTGAGCCACACAACATCTTCAACTATTCAGGGTTTAGGGTTGAGGGTTTAGGGTTTAGGGTTTAGGGTAAGTCCGCGCGTCCTTTTTATTGACAGGTTGGTAGATATTGGCCTGTAAGGTGAATATGGCCTGAGGTAAACCTTTAAAAGCCGTAAACCCTGAACACTGAACCGCAACCGTGTCCTCTGGCGCAGGCTACAAGTGGGATGTGCGGCACGTATGCCAGCAGGTACCTGAGATTTATGACGAGTCCGCTTAGAAGATCTTGGGAAGGTTCAACAAATGCCGGGCCATGGGTCACGCCTCAGGGTCAAAGACTTTGGGACGTGATGCCCTTTTTGACACGCAGGGGGGTGACAGTTTTGAGTTTATAGGGGCGCGTGCAATGCGGTTAGCATTCAGCCAGGGAGCATGGACGGACAAGTTGTCAACCATAAGCCCCAGCACTGAACCCAATCACCAAACACCGGCTTTCTAAGGCCACACACCCGGGCGTTACGTGTTTAATCGTTTATTTAGACTCTCGAGTATTTAGATTTTGTTTGTCTATGATGCTCATGTACCTTTTTGTTTTTCGGGAGGGTTCTACGATCCTTATGATACATTCCATTACCCCTGTTCATTCCTAGGTGAAAGCTGCGGTAACGGTATGGCACCTGGACCGTACCTGGCCGTACGCCATGTGCAAGAAGCGCCCTGCAGACTGGTACATGGGCTGGCGGTGCCTTGTGACTTAGGGTTTAGGGTTAAGGGTTAAGGGTTTAGGAGCCATGAACCAGCTGAGCTGAGATACGGGTTTAGGGTTTAGGGTCTAGGGTTTAGTGTTTAGGGTTTAGGGATTACGGCCCTAAACCCTACTGTACATTGTCTTGTCACACTTTCACGGGTCCGATGAGATGACGGAATACGCCGGCCATCCAGTCTGCAGCTACGCGATTGGTTGTTTAGAGCATGGATTTTCCATGGGCAGCAGAATGTCTGCTGTCAATGCCGGTTGTGCAAAAGATGTGCTGAAGCTTGTTGTGAGAGTGAAACCCTAAACCCTAAACCCTAAACCCTAAACCCTAAACCCTAAACCCTAAACCCTAAACCCTAAACCCTAAACCCTAAACCCTAAACCCTAAACCCTAAACCCTAAACCCTAAACCCTACACCTAAACCCTAAACCCTAAACCCTAAACCCTAAACCCTAAACCCTAAACCCTAAACCCTAAACCCTAAACCCTAAACCCTAAACCCTAAACCCTAAACCCTAAACCCTAAACCCTAAACCCTAAACCCTAAAGCGGAACTCGAAGGCCCTAAGCCTTCGAAGGCCCGAAGCCCTACAAGAACCCTAAAGCCAAACCACAAGCCCGAGCGCCTTCAGCCTAAACCGCCCCATCAACGCCTCACCCACATCACCTAAACCGCTTGAACCCTGAACTCTAAGCACCTAGAACCGAAACCCTAGATTGGCCCTAAACCCTGAACCCTAAAATCCTTAGGACGAGGGGAGCCGGGCAGCATAGTGTTCTAGGATCACAAAGTCATAAGAAAGAGTCCATCCGCACTGCGGAATTCGGTGTCCGAAAAACCTAAACCCTAAAACTCCAAACAGAACCCTAAGCTCCAACCCTACACTCTAACCTATATAAACTCCCACCCAGGACCGTAAGCTCCAACCCTATACCCTAAACTCCAACCCTGAACCCTAAGTTCCAACCCTGAACCCTAAACCCCAACCCTAAACCTAAACCCCAAACCCCAAACCCCAAACCCCAAACCCCAAACCCCAAACCCCCAACCCCAAACCCCAAACCCCAACCCCGAACCCCAGACCCCAAACCCCAAACCCCAAACCCCAAACCCTAAACCCTAAACCCTAAACCCTAAACCCTAAACCCTAAACCCTAAACCCTAAACCCTAACCCTAAACCCTAAATCCTCTTTGGCTGTAGGTTGCTGGCTCAGGGTGTTTAAGGGGCTCGGGTTGCAAGCACACTGCTATAATCCTCAGATTTAGGGTTTGGGGTTTAGGGTTTAGGGTTTAGGGTTTAGGGAAATTTCCAACACTCTTTGCTCATGCAGTTTAGCGTTTAAGGTTGTTGCCTCCAGCCTGAACTCAACATGTCGTGCTGCGTTCAGGGGTTTTGGCCCGAATACCCGAAGCCTAAACAGTCTCGTTTAGGACGCAGGGTTGAGGAGTCCGTCATGGCTTTCCGCGCGAGCCCGCGTGTTTCAAGCACCGCCGTGCACACTGTCGGCTGCATCAACCCCACCTCCCCCCCTGAAGCCCGAAACCAAGAACTCTCCAACCATACCCTCCCCAGAACTCTGAACCTCACGACGCTTCACGCCCTCATGGAGATTTCACGAGTTCAGGGCTTCCCGAAAGCCAAGTCTTTGTCCTTCTAGCCCAAAACCCTAAACTCTTTAAACCCTATAACCTAAACCCTAAACTCTAAACCCTATAAGCTCTCCAAACACAAAACTCTCATGACCGCTTCTGTTCACTTCGAGATGTCACACTGGGCCATGGGAAGCAGCCATGCTCCAAAATGAGCTGCTTGGTAGCCCAGTGGTACCCTTTCCCCTTTTTTTTGGGCTTAGGGCTTAGGGTTTAGGGTTTAGGGTTTAGGGTTTTGCGCTGCATGGCTGAGTGAAAGTCCCCCTGAGACTAGGGGCTTTTGGGGCTTTTGGGGCTCGGGGTTGAAGATAAGTGGGCTTTAGAGCTTAGGGTTTAGGGTTTAGGGTTTAGGGTCTAGGGTTAGGGTTTAGGGTTTAGGGTTTAGGGTTTGGGGTTTGGGGTTTGGGGTTTGGGGTTTGGGGTTTGGGGTTTAGGGTTTAGGGTTTAGGGATTCCGCTACGACCGCCCTCTTTACTACCTCCCCTTCCCTGATTAAAGTTATTTAAGGGGGGAATCCAAGGGGGGTAGTAGAATAGAGGGAGTAGGGGAACCCATGGACTATGTGTTAAACTTCGGCGGTGCCTTATCCCTACGTATCCGTGTGTGATGGTAATAACAATAGAAACTGCGAATAATCGTCAGAATAGTCGCATTAGTATGGGCGCTACTACGAACAAGAAAAGCATCATAAACACTCCTAAACCCAACACGTTTAGGGTTTAGGGTTCAGGGTTTAGGGCTCCTACATAAACCCCAAAACCGGATACCTCCCTATGAACCAGCAAAAACCTTCAGTGACTCAACCAGTAACACTCAACTCCTAAACTTTCATTCCCAAACGAAGCAACGGGAACCTTCAATGACCCGCTCTAAACCCCAAACCCTAAACCCCTCAGGCAGAGGTAAAGCCACTCCCAGCCCACAGTATTCGGCCTGGGCCTCGTTGCAGCACTTTTTTGTTGTTCGGTTTGGGTTTAGGGCTTAGGGTTTAGGGTTTCGGGTTTCGGGTTTCGGGTTTAGGCTTTAGCAATTCGGGTTTAGGGCTTCCACCCCAAAAGCCCCCAAAACCCCAAAAGCATTCCAACCCTCAAGGCTAGACCCTGAGCCTTGTGAGCCTTAGTATGGATTCCTGTAGACCCTCAAAGGTCTTGAGTCTGAGGTCGGGGACTTCCGGGTGCTCTAGGGTATAGGGTTTAGGGTTTAGGGTTTAGGGTTTAGGGTTTAGGGTTTAGGGTTTAGGGTTTAGGGTTTAGGGTTCAGGTCTGAGCCTCTGGGCTCCCCCCAAACCCCAAACACCGGCTCCCTTAGCATGCTTACCGTTCCTATCGGCCCGAACACTCTACCCCAAGCCTTTGTACTTTAGATCTAGGGTACAGGGTTGAGAGTTTCTGAACTTGGGCTTAAGTTTTGGTGTTGCAGGTTTTTGAACTCCCCTAAACCCCAAACCCGAAACCCTAAACCCCAAACCCTAAACCCCAAATTTCAGGATTTAGGAAGTTAAGCTCAAGGCTTTTCTGGGTTTTGGAGTACTATACGTAAATACTTTCTTTGGTTCTGGGTTCCTACTATAACTACTTATACTTGGCTGGTTTAGGGTTTAGGGTTTAGGGTGTAGGGGTTTAGGGTGTAGGGGATAGGGTTTAGGGTTTAGGGTCTATGGTTTAGGGTTAGGGTTTAGGTATACTTTTTTACCAGGGTTTATTCCAAAGTAGGATTTTAGGGGGCCTGGAGGTCCAGCAGAACTATGCCTGGGCCAGCGACGTGTATCTCAATCAGGCGCCCTGCTGGTGTAGGGTTTAGGGTTTAGAGTTCAGGGTTCAGGGCTCAGGGTTTAGGATTTCGGGTTTAGGGTTTAGGGTTTCGGGGGATGTAGCCTGTTCTTCGGGTTTGTCGTGCTGTGTCTGGAGGATCGGTTCAACATCAGAATGTCAGGGCCCACCCATGCACCCTGAACCCTGAACCCTAAACCATAACCCTAGAACCTAAACGCTAAACCCACAGTGGGCTGGCGTGCTGAATTTTTGTGTGTAGCCCTGAACCCTAAACCCTAAACTCACCATCCCCCCCACCACGAGATGTCATGCTAAAGCCCCAACATCTTTCGGACCAGGACCTGAACCCGCCCGATCCTCAGGCAACATACCAAAATACCAAGAGTTTACTGTTTAGGCTGTCGGTTCTTAAACCCTAAACCCCAAACCCCAAACCCCCAACCAGGGCCCTGAGCCTGAGCCTGAGTCCGAGCTGGGTGAGCTGAAGGCCGCTGAGGGTTTAGGGTTTAGGGTTCGGGGTTTGGGGTTTTGGGTTTAGGGTTTAGTGTTTAGGGTTTCAGGGTTTATGTCGGGCTGTTCGGGCTTGGGGGGGGGGGGGGGGGGGGGGGGGGGGGGGGGGGGGGGGGGGGGGGGGGGGGGGGGGAGGAGGGGGAGAGAGGGGGCGAAATGGGAGACTTCGGGAAGCTTGGGTTTGGGGTTTCGGGTTTGGGGTTTAAGGTTTAGTTTAGGGTTTAGGGTTTAGGGTTTTGGGTTGAGGATTGGCCTGTTCCGGAAGTTCAGAAAAGATGGCGGGATGATTTGGGGGGGAGCCTTCAGATCTCCTCCTCGACCGAAAGAACGAGGAGGGGTCGCGGGGGCTCAGGCTTGATGATTTCTGTGTGAGGCGTAGATTCGAGGGTGTATGATATTCGGGGCACCCTATTGTGCTTATGATAAGGGGATCCTACTATTTTTGGGGGGTCTATGACGGGGGTCCCTTATTGTTCCTGTAAAACTCTACATCTTTTAGGAATTGAGGGTAGCCTTGTACGGACGGTGAATAGTAACATGATATAAACGACACGTGGACAACGCATGGGACCCTGCGGGTCCATATGCGTGGGCAATCTAGCCCCTTGGCTCAGAGAGACGTCCAGCAGCTCACATCAGCAAGGGCATTACTTGTCTCAAGTTGTCAAGGATGCAAACGTGGAGGACGAGGTGTTGGCAGGCATGTTCGAGAAGTTCGGCAAGATTACGCACCTGTGGACGCAGGATGGTGCCATATGCTGTGTCCAAAGGGTCTGGACTTGTGGTCTGGTTCTGTGGTCTGAAGGAAACCAAATCGGACCCGACCACGAGAGCGCTGCTCTCAGTCAAACTCCAAACCCCACACCCTAAACCCTTAGCCCTAAACCCTAAACCCCAGACCCTAAACCCTAAAGCCTAAGCTTCCAGCTAGCCCTTGCCAGGCGCTTTGCGAGGCCCAGGCCAGGAGAAGAGTGTGGCTTTGGGTGGGTGGCAGGGTCTGTAGGGTTTAGGGTTTTGGGTTTAGGGTTCAGGGCGTAGGGTTTAGGGGTGGGATAGGGGTTTCAGGATCAAGGGAGAACCCCTACCCTCAACCCCAAAGCCAAAGTGTGAGATAGCCGTCAAGAGACCCATCTTGGTCTTTGGTTGAGCTTTCCCAGAGTAAGGGGAGAGGATCTTGCCCCAACGACCGTATGGCCTAGATTCCTTAGCAGAGATCCCCCCGCGGAGCGCTGTAAGCGATGCAGGTCAATGGATGAAGACTTCAGGGCTTCCCTTTAAGATATTCCTAACATGGCCTGTAGACTCCCTAAGAGGATCGTTAACACGGGTCCCCAAACCCAAGGGTACAACCTAAAAAGGGTCCATGATTTCATTAACCTCTCGCAGCCCTGGACCCTGGATCGAGTCTTGCGCCAAGTAGGCCACAACAAGATCTCAGCAATGCCGCCTCCTCAAACATCCTCGAAGAAGGCTTAACCGCGACACCCTCACCAAGCCCCAAACCCTAAACCCTAAGCCCTAAACCCTAAATCCTAAACCCTAAACCCTAAACCCTAACCCTAAACCCTTCATTACATCCCTAAACCCTACGCCCTGAACTGCCCTCTTCCTCCACTGCTGCCAGGCAGCCCGCATTGCTGAGCTTGAGACGAAGACTGCGAAGCAGGAGGCGGACTTGCTATTCGGGTCAAAGCCCCACGACTCCACGACCCTATACTAGGGTTTAGGGTTCAGGGTAGACCGAAACGGTTTCTACCCTGGACTCGAGTTACCTAGTGCATATGAGCTGTCGATTTAGTTCCAGGTTTTAAGCCCGACGCTGACCCTAAACCCTAAACCCTAAACCCTAAACCCTAAACCCTAAAAACCTAAACGCTGGTAAAAGAAGGCTCAGATTGCGGAGCTTCGCATGCTGCTGGCGCGAAGTGGCACCACCCCGCGAGGCGCCCGACGCGGGTGCCCCTGTGTTTCTCAGGGTTTAGGGTTTAGGGTTTAGGGTTTATGGTTTAGGATTCAGGGTTTAGGGGCCTATTGTGCCTGAATAACTAGAATAAGGCTTTGGGGAGTTTATTGTAGTATAATTACAAAGGGACCATAGGAAAATACGATGAATTTATCCCGACCCCAGTAGTAGGGTGTTTTCTTGGGGCTTTAGGGATTTTCGCGGCTTTAGGGGTGTTAGGGATGGGATGTCAGGGATGTTAGCGATTAGAGGCTCACGATGTTTTCTGAGGGTTTATATAGGTTTGGGGATCTCCGGTTTTGCAGGGGCTTGGGGGTGTTCTCGAATTTGAGATTGATTTGTTTTTCGAAGGTTGTGGGTAGAGATGCTTGACTGGTGAACGAACTGGATCGCACATCACTTGCAACGACAGCGGGCTGGCCCCACGACCCCAAACACTCAACCCTGAACCCTTAAACTCTAAACCCCGAAACCCTAAAGAACCTGAAACCCTAAGACCCTAGACCTGAAACCCGAAATCGCAGAAACAGCGAAAACCAAAAGCATCCTCACCGCCCAAACCCCCTAACCCACACCCCCCCCCCAAAAAAAAAAAATAAAAATAGATAAATAAAATGACAAATTTATATATATATATATATGTATGTATATATATATATATATCATATATATATATATACAATAAAATAAAAATGCACAAGTCCCAAACCACTCCAAAAACTCCGAGCCCTAATGTCCCCAAAGCACTTAAACTTCAACCCTCCGTCCCTACAGCCCCCTGGAGCCCTAAACCTTCTTTATCCCGAGATTTCAGAAAGGCCTCACCGAAGCACGTAGGAAGGCATCCTAGCAAAGAGAACCAGGTTCGAGCTTGGGGGACGGGGGGAGAGGTCGGACCAAACATGGCATTTCTTGCTCTTAGGGTTTTGGGGGTTTACGGGGGCCTTAGGGTGTTTAGGGGCCTAGGGGGTTTATGGGGGTTTACGTAAGGGCGGGGGGGGGGGGGGGGGGGGGGGGGGCTTAGGGGGGTTCAGGTGGTTTGTGGATGTTGAAATAGGCTGGCTCAGGGACGTCCTTGTGAGGCGACTCCTCCCCGCGCAGCGCGCGTCGGGCGGAGGCCGGTTCGTATGTGCCAAAACTCCCCATTTGGGGGCTTGGGGGGGGGTGGGGGGGTGGTGGTAGGGTTTAGGGTTTAGGGTTTCGGGTTAGGGGGTTCGGGTTGAGGGTTCGGTTAGGGTTTAGGGTTTAGGGCTTGTTCAGGGCATTCACCTTATGACCCCCGTCGAAGCCATCTAACCGTCCAAAGAGCAAGACCTTAAGCCCTAAACCCTGCGCCCTCAACCCGAAACCCGAAACCGGAAACCCGAAAAAGCCTAAACCCGAAACCCTAAGCCCTAAACCTAGCGCAAAGACGCCCTAAGCTGGCCAGGCTGCCGGCACCCAGCCGCACCGCGCCTAGCTGTTCGTTTTCTAAACAAATGAGAGGGTGTTAAAGTTAGCCGTGGCCTCCTACACTAAACCTTAAACCCCATAAACCCTAAACCTGAAACCCTAAACCCCAAACTGGAGGTCCAGGTGTATGGGCTCCAGCGTCATTCTATTTTCCCACCCTCAACCCTAAACGCTAAACCCTAAACCCTAATCCCTAAACCCTAAACCCTAATCCCTAAACATTAACCCTAAACCCTACACACCCCAAGCCCTAAACCCATCGACAACCGCAGCAATCAAAACTCCTTCTATTCCTATGGGGGGGGGGGGGTGGGGGGGGGCGGGGGGAAACGTCCACGGAGATTTACGAGTTCAGGGTTTCGGGCTTTGTGGTTTTGATGAAGTTGAGGCTCCAGATTGCTGTAGGTTTAGGGTTAGGGGGTTGAAGGTTTAGAGTTTAGGGTTTATCCCTAAACCCTAGACCCTGAACGCTAAGCCCTAAGCCCTAAGCCCTAAACCCTAAACCCTAAAAGGGGGGTTACGGTTTACCGGGTGGGGCCTGGGTTTTGTCCAAAACGCTTTTCCCCTTGCCTGTGAAGCCCTGGGAAGCAGAAGCTGCCAAGGCTTTCCGAGTGAGGCCCAAGGGTTTAGGACCCAAAACGAAAAAAACCGTAGCCCCAAACCCTAAACCCTAAACCCTAAACCTGTGTCCATAGGACCCTGCTGAATAGCCCGAAAACGTTCAGCGCACAACTCCGGGAGACACGATGGCCCCGGGAATTGTGAGAAGCCTTACCACCCATTCAGGGTTTAGGGTTTAGGGTTTAGGGTTTGGGGTTTAGGGTTTAGGGTTTGGGGTTTAGGGTTTTGAGGGAGGAACACGAGCGCCACTCAGGCGGACGAGCATCTCGCCAAAGAAAAGCCGGCAGCAAGGCACCCATGGTCTTTCGAGCATCTTGTGTCTCTTTTTTTCTTTTAGAAATTCTGGGAAACACATTTCTTTTTTTTGGGGGGTGGGGGGGGGGGGGGACTTAGGGCTTAGGGTAAACCCTGAACCCTAAGTAAGCCCTAAACCCTTATTGAGCTGCCGTTGTGATACGGAGCCCTGTATCTGGGGCAAGCCCAAACAGAACTTGGAGAGCCGCTGAGTACATCTTCGGATGCCCTAAATGCCCTATTCAAGTATCCTTTGGGGGGTTTGGGGGTTTAGGGGTTTAGGGGTTTAGGGTTTAGGGTTTAGGGTTTAGGGTTTAGGGTTTAGGGTTTAGGGTTTAGGGTTAGTGTTCAGGGTTCAGGGTTCAGAGTTTAGGGGTTAAGGTTTGGCCGGTATCTCAGAGTATATTTAGAGTGCACGTGGGGATGAAAGTTTGCTTTATATCTAGCAGGTCAGAGCTTACTACGTGGTTAGGGTTGAAATTGGGGTTTTTGGGTAGCACTACCTAAACCCCTAAACCCCATATAAGCCTTCAGAGTTTACAGGGTTAAGAGTTTAGGGTGATGGGGCGGCTGGGGCTTGCTATCGCAGCCTATCCCATGATCCTCAAAACCTAAACCCCAAACCCCCCCATACCCCCAACATGCCGCCTTCTGAACGCAAGTCCCATCCAAACTCCAAACGCCAAACCTGAGAATCGCTGACGAACGAATGTAGCCTTGCGACCCTGAAATCAATCGCGAATCCACCCTTGTGACCCTGAAATCCCTCACGAATCTAGCCTTGCGACCCTATACCCTGAACCCTAATCCCTTGTGAAGGTTCCACGGCTTCGACAAATGGCACATCTGTGGCTTGACTTCATAACCATCCAATGCATTGATGCTGAGCCTTTAAGGTTTTAGGGTTTCGGGTTTAGGGTTTACGGGTTACGGTGCTCGGCAAAGACAAGGATTCCCCAAAAACACGGCGTCCTTCAAATGTCTGTTTGTTTTCCCGCGCGATGAACACCAAATATGGGATGCATGGTGCAGGAATCCCAAGCAAAACTTCACATGTAAACTTGCGTAGTTTGCTAGGAGTGTGCGGCTTGTTGAGTTGGTTTCGCCCCGTCATCAAGATGAGGGTTTCCCGAAACCCTAAACCCTAAACCCTAAACCCTAAACCCTAAACCCTAAACCCTAAACCCTAAACCCTAAACCCTAAACCCTAAACCCTAAACCCTAAACCCTAAACCCTAAACCCTAAACCCTAAACCCTAAACCCTAAACCCTACCTGTTACCGTCGTAGCCGTCTTGACGTCGTATCGTCTCCGGGTTGAAGGTGATCAGGGGCTGGAACCCTGGGAAGCTGTAACTACTTGGAGGTTCAAGGTACTTATGAACCAATTCGACCTGTACTTATAACCCACGTATCACCCCCTGGAGTGCCCGACTATGGTTATAAGTACAGTGATAATGATCCTAAACCCTAAACCCTAAACCCTAAACCCTAAACCCTACACCCTAAACCCTAAACCCTAAACAGTTATCAAAACAGTTATAATTGATTAGGAAGTACCATGAACCTCCAAGTAAAGGACCCGCAAGTTGCCCCCCCTAACGCGCCTAAGGCCAACTCCCCCGCAAGCCATGAGGGGCCGAAGCCCTAAACCCTAAACCCTATACCCTAAACCCTAAACCCCAAACAGTGCCAAAAGCCTGAGCAAATGCAAGGAGCTGATTCTCATAACACAGGAAACCCGAAGCCCCTAGCATACCCAACTTCAGGGTTTAGGGTTTAGGGTTTAGGTGACATTAGGGTTTAGGGTTTCTAGTTCAAACAAAGGCCCAGAAGACGGGTGATATTCTGGGCCCTTGTTTAAACTAGAACGGGCGTGTTGGGCTTACGGCTTAGGGTTTCTTGTCCTATGACAACATTCGGGCCTGGAAGCAGATTGCCGTGAAACTGAAGGTGGTGTAGGCTTTAGGGTTTAGGGCTGTGGTAGGTGCATGAGGAGGGGTTGTATTTCTTGTTTACGAACCCTAAACCCTAAACCCTAAACCCTAAACCCTAAACCCTAAACCCTAAACCCTAGACGTTGCTTTGGCCACCCGGGGCTCCCTAAGCATGAAGCCTCCAGGTAGGTACCGCCACAGCCGATCGGTCGCGCAGGGCCCTCATCATCCTAAAATCAGGGTTTAAGGTTTAGGGTTTAGGGTTTAGGGTTTAGGGTTTAGGGTTTAGGGTTAGGGTTTTATGCTTTCCTGGAGCTCCGACTTTATGAGTATATGGGTGTTCGGGGTGAAGGGCTGGTGAATATTCCTTTTTTTTATGGAGGTTGGGGTGTAGGGTATTTCCACACTAGGTCTCAAGCAACTGGGCTATAGTTTAGAACGACCCAGGAAAGCCCACAAGCTGTGACAGTTTGACGGACAGTTAGATGTGTAAAGCTTTCCATGTAAGAGCCTGGTAAGAGGCTTATATAGTCTCTAGACTGTTGAATGGATGAGAGACATATATGGGAGTGGATCAACATGCCTCTTTTCAAAATTACCCTGTACAACACATTCCCTTATTAACCAAGAGTAACCCTAAATAGTTCCCCAAAGTGACCTTTAGATGAACAGAACAGTAAAATTCCCACCTGTTACTGTCCTGTATACTAAAGCCCTAAACCGCATGAGCCCGAATCCCCTCACAAGGGCATCATGAAGCCCCGACGTCCTCACCGAGTCAGGGTTTAGGGTTTAGGGTTTAGGGTTTAGGGTTTAGGGTTGAGGCTTTAGGGTTTAGGGTTGAGGGTTTAGGGTTTAGGGTTTATAGAGTTTAGGGTTTAGGGTTTAGGGTTTACGGACGCTTCGGACAGGCTGCTCCCCATTTCCTAGGAAGAGGCTGCTGCGGACCCTGAACCCTGAACCCCTAAACCCTGAACCCCAGGGTTTTAGAGTTTAGGGTTTAGGGTTTAGGGTTCAGGGCTACTGGGGGATTCTTGAACTGAAGAAGGGCCCCAAACCGTTCAAAGCTTGGAGAGGTACCCGTGTACATGAGGGAATCTTTCGGGTTTTGGATTCAGGGTTTGGGGGTTAGCCGTAGCCGCAACAAGCCCCAAATCCTAAACTCTCAACCCCAAACCCTAAACCCAGCATAATACGTCTGGCCTACGCCTGTACTGGCTATACCTAGCAAATTCAGTGGGAATACCAGTAAACTGTAGGTATGTAGAGTCCCAAGTAAACCCAAAAAGTGCCTAAACCCAGAATCCTGACCCGACATAGACCTTCTAACCCACAAGATACATCGGTTTGGGGTTTTTGGGTTTTAGGGTTCAACCCTAAACCCTAAACCCTAAACCCTAAACCCTAAACCCTAAACCCTAAACCCTAAACCCTAAACCCTAAACCCTAAACTAGGGGCTTAGGGTTTAGGACTTAGGGTTCCCTACCCCAACTTTAGGACTTAGGGTTCCCTACAGAAAGAGGATTCCCAATTGTGTGGCCGAGGCGAAGGTGATGGCCTGGCGGTCTGCGCAGCGCAGATCCGCGGCCAGGCAGGCGCAGGCAGCGGTTTAGGGTTTAGGGTTTAGGGTTTAGGGTTTAGGGTTTAGGGTTAGGGTTTAGGGTTTAGGGTTTCGGGTTTAGGGTTTAGGGTTTCGGGTTTAGGGTTTCGGGTTTAGGGTTTAGGGTTTAGGGGCAGCACTGGTGTGTAGCCTAGGTTTTCAGGTGGAAACAAGGGCTTGGGGCTTCTGGAGCAAGTTGTTCTTTGGAAGTTGGCTTTTTGGGTTTGTAGGGACTCTGATATAACAGAGAGAGAGAGAGAGAGGGAGGGAGGGAGAGAGTGAGAGACAGACACAGAGACAGAGAGAGAGAGAGAGAGACCCGAAGTGGGCTGACTATAGCCCTTTCATGCTTGAAGGGACAGCATTTCAATCTTCGATGAGAACAGGTGAGGCTTAGGGTATACAAGGTTTTGGGTTCAGGGCTTATGTTGACCTGGCGCAAGGAGGTAGAATCCCGAACCCTTCGCCCCTCAACCCTCAACCCTCAACCCTAAACCCCAGTAGGGAGTCGAAGGAGTTGTGTGGACATGCGATCTGAGTCACCTTCTTCAAGCCCTGCCGAGAAAAGTGTTTAGTGTTTGGGGACTGCCTCACTTCTTGGGCATTTTTGATACATACATATAGATATATAGATTATATATATATATACATAAATATAAGTAAAAAACTACATACATACATACATACATACATACATACATACATACATACATACATACATACATACATACATACATACATACATACATACATACATACATACATACATATCGAGAGAGAGAGGTCGCCAAGGTTTGGGTTTGGGTTCAATCTTGGGTTTAGGACTTGGGGTTTTGAGCTTGGGGCCAGGGGGTTTGTCGAGCCTTGAAAGTCAGGCTCATGAGGGTTCGGGTTTGCTTCGCAACGGTGTGAGATTCTTAGGGGGTATTCGGAGGCGCATGCCCCCTTCGCACCGCTCAGTCCTACGCCCAATATAGGTGTCAACAGGTTTAGGGTTTGGGCTTGGGGGCTACAGTTGTAGTTCTGGGCTACAACACAGGTAAGATTGACTTGTGGCTACATTTTTCGCGCCCACGGACGGGGGGGTGCAGGTAAGGTTTATGCTACTATTTGCTTACTAACTCCAAAATAATAACAGAGAATAATCCCTATAATGCCATGAATAAGGACGAATATTTTTCCGGGGTTCTTTGCCCGCGACAGGCTCACCTGGCCCACCGCCGCAGCGAGCGCAGGCGGGTTGAGGGTTGAAGGTTGAGGGTTGAGGGTTGAGGGTTGAGGGTTGAGGGTTTAGGGTTTAGGGTTTAGGCGCCCCCCCCCCCCCCCCCCCCCGAAAACAAGGAGTTAGGGTTTAGGGTTTGGAGGTTTCGAGGTTCAAGAAAAAAGGTTAGGGTTTAGGGTTTTTCGGGTTTTGGAGGTTCAGGGGGCTTGGGGGGTTAGATCCCAACACTCAAATGTTCCTACTCTTTTCGTCCCTAGGTTCCTGAGGGTACCTCTTCGGAGGGAGATGTGGAGCCCATGAGGCAGCTTCTGTTAAAGCAGCGCTTGGGGATTGGGGGGGATTTCCTCAACCCTGCAAGCGGTTCTTGTATTAAGTTCTCGTTTCTGGGCTTTTGTGCAGTTTTTGGCCCAGGTGCTGTGAAATTTTATCCAGGACAGGGCATCACTCCACGTGGGCCACAAGTGACCTTCCTAGGAAGTGATCCGCATTGTCTGGTGAGTGGGGAGGAGAGAAGAAGAAAGATCGGGATGGCCCGACAGTCCTGACTCTAAACGGGCGGACGCCTCCGCTCCTGCTGGAGCATTGTGTTGGAAGTCCTAAACCAGTACCCAAAAAAACAAGGCAGGCACTTTCTATCCAGCATAGGAAAAGGCATCGTGTGCCGGACTGCAGGCGCCCGCCGGAGTTGGTGCGCTTCTGTGGCTTGTTCAAAGCCTCTACATCCAACAGCAGCCCCGGAACCCTAAAATGGGGAGAGCGAACGCCCCGAAAGGCCCGTGAACCCTAAGCCCTAAGAAGCCCACAGCAACGACCGTGACGACAGCAGCCTTGCTAGGGCGATTTTGGGGGGTTTAGGGCGTTCTTCAGCTTCTCCTGACGCTATGGCCATAAAGCTCACCCTAAACCCTAAACCCTAAACCCTAAACCCTAAACCCTAAACCCTAAACCCTAAACCCCAAGCCCTCCCCCAAACTCTAAACTCTTGCTCTACAGGTGATTGCTGAAGCAGCCGTGGTGGCTTCGCAGCCAGCGTCCGGTACCCGGAGTAAAGATCTTGGGGGGCCTTTGGGAATCTAGAAGCTACGCCCTAAACCCTAAACCCTAAACCCTAAACCCTAAACCCTAAAACCCTGTTAAGGTTTAGGGTATCTGTCATCCCGGGACTTGAACCCTAAACCCCCCTCTCGTGTTTATGACTTAGGGACAAACACCCGAGCCCTGTTCACGAGGCCTGGCCCGTTTTAACCCGAAACCCTAAACCCCAGACCCTAAACCCTAAATCCTAAACCCTAAACCCCTAACCCCCTAAACCCTAAACCCCAAACCCTAAATCCTAAACCCTAACCCTTTGCATCCTGAGCCATGACCTCTTCGCCTTCAGGCCCCTGGCACAAAGCTCTGGTCCACCGACCCGACATCCGGCAGGCAGGGTTTAGGGCTTAGGGTTTCTGTGAAGGGTTTAGGGTTTAGGGCTTAGGGCTGAGGGCTTAGGGCTTAGGGCTTAGGCTTAGGGTTTAGGTTTTAGGGTTTAGGGTTAGGGCTTTGAGTTTAGGGTTTGTGGTTTTAGGGTTCAGGGTTAGGGTGTAGGTGTTAGGGTTTAGGGTTTAGGGCTTTGGGTTTAGGGTCTCCCCTTCGCCCCCCCCCCCCGCCCACAACCACCCGATTGAAAGTCTTTCCTCGAACCCCCAGTCTATCAGTAATATAGGGGTTTAGGGTTTAGGGTTTAGTTATTCTAATTCTTCAGGCCCCTATAGTACCCCCATTCCACGTCTTGCGAAAGAAGCGGCTGCCCAAAAGAATGCTAAGCTACAATTGCCTACTTGGAGGTTCATGGTTCTTACAAACCAATTACAACTGTACTTATAACCATATTAGGGCACTTAAGGGGCTAATAAGTGGGTTATAGGTACCGTTAGAACTGGTGAATAAGTACCATGAACCTCCCAGTACCCCCCAAAAGAAATTCAAGCGCTTGCTGCGTCTACGTTGAGCCAGGTCTTCTCGCATCACCGTGCCAGGACGGCCGACAGGCCGTCTACCAGGATGAGGGGGCGGGGAAACTTCGGGATAAGTCATCTTGAAAAGAAAGTTAGGGGATCCCCTTGTACCAAGGGTTCAGGGTTTACGCCCTAAACCCTGACCTGATACCCCCCCCTTACATCACCTTCTCTGGGCTAGGGAGGGACTTTGAAATTGGAGAAAGAGGGAAGGAGAGAACAAGAGAGAAAGAGAGAAAGAAAGAAAGAGAGAAAGTGCGAAAGTGATAAAGTAAGAAAGAGAGACAGAGAGAAAGAGGGAAAGAGGGAAAGAGACAAAGAAGGAAGGAGAGCAAGAGAGACAGAGAGACGGAGAGACGGAGAGGCAGAGAGACAGGGAGACAGAGAGATCCCGGGCAGGGAGATGGGGTTTAGGATTTCAGGGGGGGTTTCAGACCTTAGGGTTTAGGGTTCAGCTGCAGAAAGAAGAGCAGGATCGACCTGTCAGAGCTGGGAGAGTTGCTTCTACATGCTGGAGCTGGTTTAGGGTTTAGGGTTTAGGGTTTAGGGTTTAGGGTTTAGGGTTTAGGGTTTAGGGTTTAGGGTTTAGGTTTGGGGTTTAGGGTTTAGGGTTTAGGGTTTAGGGTTTAGGGTTTAGGGTTTAGGGTTTAGGGTTTAGGTTTGGGGTTTAGGGTCTAGGGTTTGGAAGGGTTAGGGGTTGGGGGTCAGGGTTTAGGGTTTAGGATTCCTTCATGGATCTGGGATATGCCAAGTAAGTGCCTTCGATTGATGATTCCGCTGGGCTTCCATTCTGAAGCAAGCTCTTGCCATTCAATGTTCAATAGGTTTTAGGGTTTTAGGGGTTTGGTGTTTAGGGAAAGTGTGTGACCTGTAAAAATGTGAGCAGGTCACCAAGAAGACTCTGGGAGCCATTCAGAATGACTTCTTCTGTACGACAGTCACCCAGGTAACCCTAAACCCTAAACCCTAAACCCTAAACCCTAAACCCTAAACCCTAAACCCTAAGCCCTAAACCCTAGAAGGTTGGTGGGTCCAGAACACTGTGGAGTTGCGGGGTGAGATGACAGGGGGCGAGTCAATGTTCATTGTGCTCATGGATGACGCAGACCCCGCTGAGGAAGCAATGGCCATTCGTAAAAAAGGGCTCTCGAAAGTAGCACAGGCGCGGCAGAAGTTTCGGACTGTGAGATATGTTTGGAGTTTTGGGGCATGGGACTCTGAACCCTGAACCCTAAAGCCTGAACCCTGAACCCTAAACCCTAAACCCTAAACCCTAAACCCTGAACCCTGAACCCTGAACCCTCCCATGTCCAAAGTCCAGTCTCTCCGGCCCGCTACTATGGCCAGGCTCTCTTGACGCCAAGGTGGGTCTTTTTTGGGCTGCGGGGATTCCCAAGCTAAACCCTAGCAGCATAGAGCTCTGAAACTCTAGAAGCCCTAAAATCACAGGACCCTAAAATTCGAGGACCCCTAAAACCCCAGAACGGGGTGAATCTTGGGATGAAATTGAACCAGTCCGTTACGATTCGTCTCCTTGTCTGTAGGTAGGGTGGACTAAACCGGGGGTATCGTTTGGGGTTTAGGGTTTCGTGTAGGGAACAGACCACCAGAAGATAGGGTTGAGTGTTGAGAACCCTAAACCCTAAACCCTAAACCCCAAACCCAAAACCCTAAACACGCCACACACAACCATCCTGGCATTTTGCGAAGTTCCCGGCGTCGACTCACTAGGCCACTGCGTTCGAGTGCTTTGTGAAAGTCGCATGTTCTATTTGACGGGAGTCATAGGGTTTAGGGTTTAGGGTTTAGGGTTTAGGGTTTAGGGTTTAGGGTTTGGAGTCACAAGGTTCTTAAGGGAGGGGGTGTTCAAGCAGATATGTAACCCAAGGTTCCCTACCACTCCCCACTGCTCCCTAATGACTCCAGAAGGCTCCCTAAGGTACCTACCCCCCTTGAACCCCCCTGCCTTAAGAACCCTACAACCCTAAACCCTAAACCCGAAACCCTAAACCCTAAACCCTAAACCCTAAACCCTGAACTGAAGCGAGTCCCAAGTTTACGAACGGTTTTTTGGCTTCGGGTTGCGAAGGGGTGGTGGCACTGTAGGGTTTGAAAATTCAGGTTGGGCATCGGCCTTCGCCCGGGCTTCCCTGAACCCAAAGCTTATCCAACCCTAAGCCCTGAAACCCTAAACCCTAAACCCTAAACCCTAAACCCTAAACCCTAAACCCTAAACCCTAAACCCTAAACCCTAAACCCTAAACCCTAAACCCAAATCATGACCCTGCTTTATTGCAAAGACACGCAACCTCTCATGGGAACTTTTTCAAGCAGCATCCACCGCGTCGTGTTGGTAAGCTGAGTTGTGGTCTGTTTCGAGGTTGCTATGCATGCAGGGTTTAGGGTTTAGGGTTTAGGGTTTAGGGTTTAGGGTTTAGCGTTTAGCGTTTAGCGTTTAGCGTTTAGCGTTTAGCGTTTACCCCCAGAACCCCTGACCCCTAACCTGAAAACCTTGGCCCTGCGTCCACCGCACGTGAGCTCGCACAAAGCCTCTGTCTTTTGTGCGTTGTTGAGGGTTTAGGGTTTAGGGTTTAGGGTTTAGGGTTTAGGGTTTAGGGTTTAGGGTTTAGGGTTTAGGGTTTAGGGTTTAGGGTTTAGGGTTTAGGGCGGTGGACGCCCCTCTGGAAGACCTGTCGTGCGCCACCGCAGCACTTGGGCTTGCACCACGACCAAGGGGCGATTCCTTCTTATTAACTTGCGCCATGGAGATGGTGTACTTACCCGAGGCCCCGGCTTGCCATGGGGTTCTTTTCAGGTTCAGGGTTCAGGGTTCAGGGTTTTGGGTTTACGGTTTAGGGTTTTGGGTTTTGGGTTTTGGGGTTTAGGGTTTAGGGTTTAGGGTTCATCAGGCTTTTTTTTGTGAACTTGCTTCGAAGGCTTAAGCCTGAACCCTCACCTTGATCCAAGAGGGGCGGAGCAAGCTCGAGGGCTGAGGTGCTTGCTTACTTTTCATCGTGTGGTACTCGAGTTCCACAGGCACTGCCCCCAGCCTTCTAGGGTTTAGGGCTTAGGGTTTAGGGTTTAGCGCTTAGGGTTTTGGGTTTAGGGTTTAGGGTTTAGGGCTTAGGGTTTTGGGTTTAGGGTTTAAGGCGCCCCGCAGCCACTTCGGGTTTGTGGTTTAGGGCTGTTGACCTCCATTTGCGTATTTCGTAACACCCGCCAAGCTCCACTACTTGGGCCGTGAACCTTCGCAAGCCCTTTCCGGAACAACCAGCCCTAAGCCCCAAAACCCTAAACCCCAAACCCCGAACCCCAAACCCTAAACCCCAATCCCTAAGCCCTAAACCCTAAGCCCTAAACCGAACCAAAAAGGGCCAAGTAAACCCTAAACCGGTAGGCAGCCGTCTTGCCGCTCCTGGACTTTGTCATCGCGGCCTCCTACTTGACGATCCCCGTGCTGCCGCCCCCGGCTGAAGTTGAGGGGTTTAGGGTTTAGGGTTTAGGGTTTAGGGTTTAGGGCTTAACGGGCTTAACGGGCTTCAACCCGAGTGCCAACCTAGAGGTTTGGGGTTTAGGGTTTGGGTTAAGGCTCAACGGGTCTAATCCCGGGTGCCAACCTGGGGGTTTAGGGTTTGGGGGTTGGGGTTTAGGGTTTAGGGTTTAGGGTTTGGGGTTGGGGTTTAGGGTTTAGGGCTTAGGGCTTAGGGCTTAGGGTTTAGGGTTTAGGTTATGAGATGATTGGGAAGCTAAAGACGGGAAATCTCAAGTTAATTATTTTGCATTTATTTTGTGTTTGGTTTTTTTTTTTTGGCATCTCAGTTTTGCGTTTTTTAGTCTCGTATTTTGGGTTGCGTTTGTTTTGTGTTTTTGTTGCGTTGTGTTTGCGTGTTTGTTGTGTATTTTGCGCTTGTTTTGTGACATTTTTGCGTTTTTTGTGCGTCTTGGGAGAGGAGGGGGGGTAAGCAGAAATGATAAAACATGCCAAACACAGTGTGTTTTGCTCTTTGTTTTGCGTTTTGTTTGCGTTTGCTTTGCGTTTGCTTTGCGTTTGCTTTGCGTTTGCTTTGCGTTTGCTTTGCGTTTTGTCTGCGTCTCAGGCTAAGGGGGCGAGGAAGGCACCCCCCAAGACGCAAACAAAATACAAAAGTCTGCAACCCGAGGCTGCCCCAAAGTCCGAGACGCAAAGCCGGGACGCAAAATAATCACAAAAAAAACTCAAAAAACACATCATTGGGGGACCCCTGCCCTGTGGCTCTAATCATCTCATAAGGTTTAGGGTTTAGGGTTTAGGGTTTCGGCTTCGGGTTGAGGTGTACAGGATCTCCCTTTTCCAGCACGCCCAGAGATTCACGTAGTGTGGGTGAGGGTGTTTAAGGTATACTGTTTAGGGTGTAGGGTTTCAAGGCACGCAGGGGATGACCAGTCGTGGGGCTTCATTGCCATTCAGATCACGGTGCAGTTGAGGGTTCTTGCGTTTTGGGGGCATGTAGGTTTCAGGGCTTAGGGTTAGGGTTTAGGGATTAGGGTTGAGGGTTTAGGATTGAGGGTTTAAGGTTTCAGGACCCCCAAATGCCTTGGCACCCTTATGCCACCGAAAGTTCGAATATGCCCTGCATCTAAGACCATATCATGCCTTCCCAAACCCTAAACCCTAATACCCCAAGCCCTAAATCCTAAACTGCTAAATCCCTCAAACCTGAACCTAAGGTCATCCATCCTTTTGCTAGCTCCAGGCATTTAGGGTTTTGGGTTTAGGGTTTAGAGTTTAAAGTTCAGTGTTTATGGTTTAGGGCTCCCTCAAGTAGGGCTTCGAGGGGATTTTTCAGATCGACCGCGCTGCCAGAGCCAACCATATGGTTTTTTTTGAAATAATAAGGGTTTAGGGTTTAAAGTTTAGAGTTTAGGGTCTAGGGTTTAGGGTTATATAGACCCCCAAATAGTAGGATCCCCTTATAATAAGGACCCCAATCAGGTACCCCTAATATCGTAAAACCCCCGTAGATACCCTAAACGCGAAACTCACAGCCGCGAAAGCCCTTGAAAGCAGCGGCAGCCATGATGTCGATTTAGAGGCTGAAGGAAGGTTTTGGGCTTAGGGCTTATAGGGCTTAGGGCTTAGGGCTTAGGGCTTAGGGTTTAGGGTTTAGGGTTTAGGGTTTAGGGTTTAGGGTTTAGGGTTTAGGGTTTAGGGTTTCGGGCTTGGTGAGAACAAGAAAGCCGCGCTGTGGTGTGATGCTTAATTGCCACTATACCCCATGGAGAGCTAGGTGGCAACTGAGTTACGAGGTTGGCTTTTGGGACATTCCATGTTTTCCTTCTTTACGGCTTTATCAGGGACCCTATTTACAGATATTTGTCAAAGGGTTTTTTAAGGCCAACCCAGATTATGATCCTCAACCCTATGGCCGAAACCTCGGTCTCGGGGTGTTGATTTGATCTGTCCTGTCTGCAGCCCTTTCAGAAGGACTTCATGTGGTCACGCCTCCAAAAAAGGTGGTCCCTTTTGGGGGTCATTCTAAGGCGGCCCAAGCTAGTTAGAATACCCAAAAAGAGACCAGACAATTCGAGAACGCATGTAGAGAACTCCTTCACTTGGTTTTGGGCTTGGGCCTTAGCACCCAGCTCCCGTCTAAGGGTAGTCTCATGGGCCCTTCATATGGTCCCCTTACTCTCTTCAATGGGTTCTAATGTAAGGGCCCTTATATAATTTCTGTGGGGTCTATAAGGGGTCTATACGGGGTACTTTCTTCAGGGCCCATACTAAGGAAACCATGCAACTACTCTCAGATCCCGGGAGCCACGCCAGGCTGCTGAAGCTGAACCTGGCACCTGCTCAGGCACCTGCTAAGGTGCGCAGGGCCTCTAGACCCAACACAAACCCTAAACCCTAAACCCTAAACCCTAAACCCTAAACCCTAAACCCTAAACCCTAAACCCTAGACCCTAAACCCTAAACCCTAAACCCTAAACCCCCTATCCCTAAACCCAGGTCAGTAGACATTGCTCCGGTCTGTGCCCTTCATGTGGTCAGAGTCAAAAAATCAGGCCTTCTGGGCTGAGTTCCTCTCAGCCTGGAAGGCCAAGCTTGTTGTCGATGTGAAGGGGGCCCCCCAGCTGGCGTTGGCCTGCGTCGAGTCTGGAGTGCACGATGTGGCCTTCGCAGGGTCAGCTGAGCAGGCCTCATGGTTCTCCAACGTGCTGGACCTCGTGTCACTTCGAAAGGTGGTGTCCCAGGGCCATTACCTGTTTGAGAAAGATTTGTCCCAGGCAGTCCAGGACTTGTTTGCGGACGAGCTGGAGACCCCGCTCCAGGACGGTATCCCAGTTTTGCCAGAGGATGACGAGGACCAGCAAGCAGCCTAGT